AAATTTAGCCTAAGCTCCATGAAATATAGGACAGCTACAGCATATGCAGAGCGAGTTTGGTGTAATAGTTAAGCAATCTAGAGTTTCAAGTTCAGGATAAGCCCTAAAGGAAGACAGCACTCGAGCAGTAAACTATCAAGAAACAATTATAAATTCTTCTTCCCTCCTTGCTGATAGAAATGGGTGAATGGGATCTCTGCTAGACACCAGGTAACAAAAATGTTCAAGAAAGAACAGAGTGAGGAAATACTGGGTGGATTTTCATCAAAGATGCACAGATCTTTCCACATTCAGTCATACCTGAAGTACATAAGGCAGAGTCTGATGCATCTGTCTGATTAATGAAAGGATGCTCCTGTTGATACAACAGAGGTAAAAGCTTGCTTCAGATCCTGTAATTATTCCTTAGCCTGAGACCACCAACAGAATAAAGTGATAACCAATAAAGCAAGTTAAAATGGATGTATTTAACAAACTCAGATATAAAACATCTGTAAAAACTGCAAAGGCTGTCCCAAACACCATACACCTTCTATACACCCACCAGAGCATTATCCTTCTGAATGCCATTTTCTGAAATTCTCTAGCCCCCAAAAGATTGTCAAAAGCACTTTTTTATTTTATTTTAGCATGTAATTTGTGTGTACTCAGCCTCTCTAGAACCATCCCAACATGGATGAGCACTGGACTTTTTTGGGAAGGGAAATCACCTAATATACCATGACATAAAAGTCCCTGATGTTTAAAAATATCTCATTCATATAAATACTACTAATTAGTTCACCCAAGAGGTATCAAATGTACTCAAATTTCTCACAGCATATGTCAGACAGTTCATATTTTTGGCCTCTTTCATAGAGATACAGGATTTAGTAAAATTGAGAGATGTGACAGAATGCAATCTTTAAGTTACTGAGTTCAAAATTCTCATGCTATGAACTCTTCTCAAAGAATGTTTCTCTTTTTTGACAAGTTGCAAGCAGAGGCAGGAGATGAAAGTCTAATACATCTTTTTTTGTCAGGTTGTCATCAGGACATTCTTTCAATTTTTTCATTTTACTTTAGATAGGGTATCTTCATTTAGAAGGGATCTAGAAACCAAGGTCACATGAAGTTGTGTGTGTGTGCACACACAATGTGTAGTTTCTAAAAACGCTAGCAAAATCAGAATAGCTTTCTGGTAAAAAGGAGGTCCAAAATGTGAAATTATGGTGATGGGGAAATGGGGTCTTAGTTCCTATAACTGGTTATTTTGGATCTGTACATCTGTTGCCAGTGCTGAAATAGCTTGTATGGCTACCAGTGGTAAATCAGTTATCATCATCAGGTCTCAGAAACGTAACTAGCCATACATGTAAAAGAAAATAGTGAGTTCTAAAGGTTAATATAAGTTTCTAACAGCACCATACAAACAGAGGGACTACATTACAGAATCTTAGAAATCAAGTAAGAAAAGTGCTGTCATTTATAAGTAAGTACATAGAGTACACAGAGGTGAGGTCTCTTTGAGTTGTTTGAATTTCTTTCTCACAAATTCCCAGAGTGATTAATACCTCTATACATATAAATGAAATGTCCACCTGCTCATTTGCCTCATTTTGAACACCAAAACATGGTGGTTTTTTCCCCCGTTTTCAAAAATTTCAGTACTGTTACAATGATTTACATTTATTGTCATTTTTTTTAGGTTGTGGGTGTACAAATGCAATCATTTTCTGTAACTTTTATTAACCACCACTACTGCTGCTTGTAGCACAGTATTAAATCCCTAGTAATGAATGCTGCCATCTAGTGAAAGTTCAACCTATCAACCGGAAAACTGGGAGAACTTCATTTATTGGATTGTAAGCTTCATGGTAAATAATCTTGCTTCCAAGCTGAGATGATTAAGATTGCCATAATAATGTGCAACAACTGATTTCTTATTGGGAGGATTAAACAGGAGCCTTAAAATAATTGTAGCTTAATGAATTGTGTGAACCCAGCCACAGTCATTTGTGAAACATATTTAGCACCATAGTGTATTATGGATTCCAGACAATTGTGGTTTATTTAACACATTATGGCTAATAAACAAGCCCAAGATCATATGAAGAAAAGGGATCAGAGCATGAAACATATATTCATCCTTCTATTGTCAAACTTTAAAACCATCAGCATTACGGTAATTTCCATTTAAAGCGTGTATTTCTTTGAAGTCAAAATGACTTGAAAAGTTAATGCATACAGTGCCAAATGATAATTCTTGACCAATGAAATACAGCGCTTTCCAGGGCAATCTAGGCAACCAATATTAGAAGGTAAACAGAAAACTCAGCGTTAGCAAATTATTTATTCAACATTACCTGCTCAAATGTACTGCAGAAATTTGGTAGGGTTTTTTTTTTTTTTTTTGGAAACTCAAGACACTTGTTTATAACTCAATTTTTTAAAAAGTGGTACTATGTAAACTAGCCAGCTGTAGCTTATTTAGCAAATTATATTTAAACAAGTGTTTTACTGTAATATATGAATCCAATCTAAAATTATGACAAGGCTCTGAATTAAACTAGCAAGAGCAAAGACAACACAAGACAAGCGAAGAATTAAAGTCCCAAAAGGAAAAAAAAAAGGGGGGGGGGCAATAAAACCATCCTGAATATTAAAAAGGGTTATCTATAAAAACCTAATGAAATTTTAATTTGTAATAAAATTTACTTCTATATACCGTAAATCATAATATGTGATATGCAAGAGAAAAGGAATTTAATATAATTTATTTAACTTTCAGTATAACCAGCTGCAGGTTTTCTCACTCCCTCTATTGGGAAAATCCAGATTTAAATGTTTTTGAACACTGTGGGCAAAGTGGAAAGGGCCACATCTTGCTCAAAGACAGTCCTCTTGATAAGTCCCGATTGCCTCTGTTCAAGAATAAATACTGCAGCATATCCAAATAAGCCTCATCATTCATGATAGTTCCTCCACAAAAGAATGCACTATTTTTGTGTAATTTTTCCAGATGGCACCAGATGTTCCCTTTAGGAGAATCTCTTTCATGTTCTCAAACTCTATGTGGTTCCTGTGTGGCTCAAATACAGCAATTAAGAAATTAACCTGGTTGCTGTTCTTTCATCACTAAACAATGGCCTATCAAGCAATGATGTTATTTTCAACCTCATCAATAAGATGGCAGTTAACTAATGTTACATCATAGTCTTCTTCTAATTATATTTGGTGAACTGAGTCATGTATGTACTGTACCTGTGTTTTAAGGATTCTGTAACCTGTTTTGAGAATTCATGTTGGCTGAGGAATTCTGAAAGTTGAAGTCCACAGGTCTTAAATTTGCCAAGGTTGAACACCCTTGCTCTTGTAGTTGAATTTCTTTGGGATGGTTCTAAGATTTAGATTGTCTTCTGACAGCTAATTCTGACTTCAGTTAAACTAGAGAGCACAAATTACCTTTTGTTCACAATAATTCTCGAGTGAAGAGTTTATGAACTCAAAAATAAAGAAGTTAGAATAAATGAATCATGAAAAAAAATCAGTTAAAATTCCATCTCTATTCTATTACAGATTATTTATATTCTAGATAGAAGTTCCTAAAAATTAAAAGTGTACAGAGACTCTCAGAATTTCTATATGTATAATATACCTAAATACAAGAGAGCTCAGAGCTTAAGCTACAAATGTAAACTTTGCAGTAGGAATGAACTTTGTAGGTACAAAATGGGAAATACAGTAATATTATGCAGTGTTTTTATATAAATGGTAAAACCTTGTTAAATCATTTCTTCAATATAAAATTAAACATAATGGACAGTTTCACACAGCTTGGCCAGCAGAGCTGGAAATATCAAGTTAGGCAAAGTGGTTTCAAGATATACCAAAAATATGGAAAAAGAAAAACCTCAGAATAGTTAGACAGAGAATGTCAATATGAAATCAACTACTGTATGAAACCAAGCTGAGCTCTTATTTATGCCAGGCACTTTAACATGGTCTTTCAATAACTTGCTATACACTGATAGTATTTTGATGTGATGTAACGTCATACAAATCCGGTAGTAAATAATACATAATTGTCTTCAATAAATATCTCGTGACACTGACGTTTACCAAGCAGCAGCATAATATAAACAGAAGCCCAACCCATTTTAAATGCCCTGCAATTTAACTTTTTAAATTGCATTTCTATTTGACAAGGACGGATACCGTATTTCAAAATAAATCGGCTGGCATCCAGCAATAAAAAGCCACACGCAGAAGAATTTTGAGAAAGAAACCCACAGCTTTTTAACCCTTCGCATTTATTACGTCCACGAGAACGCTCCATCCACGTCCAAGGATAGAATCTCCCCTGTAAAATTGATAGATATTGATGATGATTAGAGAGGATTTCTGGGAGTATGATAGTTCGCCTAGCTACCGGGAGAAATCACAACGTACGAGTCTTTTTTTTTTTTTCCTGCCAGGTCCAAAGGCCAAGTTAGATAGGATTACCTCAAAAGTTTAGAAATGCAATCTACACATTTCGAGACAAACCCTCCCGCTTTCGCTGCAGCAAATTGCCAGCAAGCAATCGGCAGCTCCATTTATGCCACTCTTTAGACTGATGCGCACTTTATTGCAACTGCTGCGAGATCCAGTCCCAGGCTCCGCCACCGTATCGACGCCTTCGGTCTCCTTTCGATCCTAAGGCACATCTCTCTCCTCCTCCCTCCCCTCAGTGCTTCACGCTCGGGGAACGGGGAGGGCAACGGTGCCGTTTCAACCCGCAGCCTGACGTCAGGGGGAATTAAAGGGAAAGCCAGCACAATTGCGCGCAGCGCCGCTCTACCTCCTCCCTCCCCCACCTTCTCCTCTTCTCTTACTGGCTTCTGCTAATGTATAGCGGGGGAAGGAGATCCGGATCGAACGTGGCGCGTCCCCTTTAAGGTTGCCACGGGGACGGTTCGGCAAGTGAGAACGAGGCTCATTGACGTCACGCTGGGCGGTGATTGGCGGAGAGAGCTGGGTTTCCGGTGGGAGCGATTGCCGAGAAAGAGAAGAAGGAGGCCGCAAATCGGGATAGGAGGAGGAGGAGGAGCGGGGTCGACCATCGCGGAGAGGCCCAAGCAGGGAGTCGCCGCTCGGACCCGGGTAAGTCAGGGCCGGGCTTCGAGTCTCTCCCGAGGGGAGAGGGGGGTCTTCGGGCACAGCCGCGCAGGGGTGCAGCGAGGCCCAGAGTGAGAGACGCGCTCGGCTGAGGCGGCTTTTGCGCCGGGAGACGCCAGGCCTCCGTTGACTCAAATCTCGCCTCAGTGGAAACCGTCGAGCGGCGAGGCAGAGGAGGACCGTTGAGGGACGAGGTTAGGGGCTCGGGCAGGGGGACGCTGCAAAGTACGCCGGCGGCGGGGGCGGGGCATTGGCGCCGGCGGGTAGCGGGCCGTGTTTGTTTGTTTTTTGTGGGGGGGAGAGGGGGGAGGACCGGGAGAAAACAAGCGGCGGCTCTGCACGAGAGGAGCGCCGTGGGAAGCGGAGGGAGCATCAGCGCGGCTCCCGGGGGATGTCGCGGCGTAGGCAGAAAGCCAGAAGGAATTGGGGACGAAGTCCTGATTTGAAGTACCGGCTGTCTGGGGATTATTATTATTATTATTATAAAATTTTATTCATTAAACATGAAACCCAGCTGAACATTTAAAATGTATCACAAATATTTACAATTTTATTTATTATTATTCTTATTATTATTATGCTGGTAACCCGTGAGGAACACTTAACTGACAGATTGTTTGAGGGGAACATCTTTTTTTATTTTTTTAAATAAGCCACTCAGTCCTTCCATTGGGGGACAAACTTTGTATTTACCTAAAAAGGCAGGATTGTATTAGGAATAGAATTTATTAATACGGGCCTTGTCTGTGTTAAAAAAAAATAGTATTGGTGGTCTCCTTAAAAGATGGAGTGAACTAATGCATGGGTTGCTGTTTCCAATGTTTTGATTTATTTTAGGACACCTCTAAGCCCATATTGTATGGAAAGCAAACACTTAGCAATTGACTACATAGTTTACCATTTGCTTTGGTGTGGTTGCAGACCTGGTTGATGGTTGGTTGCCCCATCTCAGGAAATCTAAGCATGCAAGGATTGGAGGGGGGGAAAAACACCACATAGCCCAGAAGTAAAGAATGCCAAACCACTTCAGTAGTGCTGTCAAAACATGGTGGACGTGTCCATGTAGTTACCAGGAGTTTAGATTGATTTTACATGCTTTAATGGCACTATTTGTTGGGTCTTGTCCAGAATGCTTCATGTTGGGCTATATTTGCACTCATAAGTTCCCGTATAGAAAAATCAGTAGATCGATCACACCCAGAGAGTCGCTGCAACTTGCCTGACATTATATAAGGTGCTTTCCTCTGGGTATGGGGAAAAGTCCTATATCATTTTCTTATAGGGTAATCAAAATCATGACATCCTTCAGATGATTGTGTCAACATTTTGTCTCCTGATAGAAATGGACTAAAGCTCATAAGGGTATCAGGTTGCTTGTTTTTACTTTAATGACTAGTCCTTGGTTAAAAAGAGAGATACTGTTCTCATAGATAAAAACTGCTAAGTTTAAAATAGGCTATAATTTATGATCTCTTAAATATCTTGGTTTTCCTGCCCTGGTGAATGAACAGTTACTTTTTAACAGAAAGAAAGCATTTTGTAACTCCCAGTTGCTTTTTTTTTCCTTAGAAGAATTATAGGGAATTGCCTTGAAAAATGTTAAATGGTTCAGACAGTTATTAGGGTCCTGTAATAGTCTATTCTTAAGGTATGCAGCGTTATTTCAATAAGATGGAGGGTTCCTTTTGTCACTCATTTAGAATATTTTCATATTTAGATTAGATTTTTGCTCTTTTTTTATCCCTAATGATTCATGTAGGTAGCAAATATTTCTTTGTCTGAAAGCAGACTTTAATTGCAGTGAATTTAGATGGGTTTTACAATTTTTGCAAATACTGATGGCAACATAAAGGTGTTTATAGAATTGAATTTTCACTTGACACAGTATGTGTAAAAATACAATGCCATTGTTCTTAAGGCAAGTTCTACTTAAAATGGAATGCCTTCTATTTGGCATGCCTCATAAAATACTTGAGACAAAAGTTTCTGTCAAAAGTTTTTGCACAGTTGTCTGCTGCTGTTAAGCACTGTTGTCTGCTGCAGTGTCAACAGTGTGAATGTTTTTTCTTCTAATTTGCAAGCTGTTATAGAGCCACAGAGTAATTCTTGGATATTTAATTAAGCAGTGTGTTACTGACCTTTATTATGCAAGTTGTCAAAACAGAAGAGCCAGCTGATACTATAGAACTTAAGGCAATATGATTGTAAATGCCATTTAATTATATTTGTGGTGTTCAATCAGAAAGCAGTTTACTTGTAACATTTAAACTCTGCAAGAATTGAGAAGAATACAGTGTTTTGAAGGGGAGATTATTCGGCATCTTCATTTTTTATTTAACCGGCAAATTATCTTAGCAATGGAAATCCAAGACATATGTTTATAACTGTAAGAATATAGCCATGTATTTAAATATGTCACATAGGAAAGCATGTATTAATAGAGTGTTCCAACTATTCACTTTCTTACTTCCGTTTTGAAAGGTGATACTGGGATTAACAGTTTCCTGCAAATTCTGTGCATACCTGTAACTGCTGTTAACTTCATCTCAAGTAAGTAGTGATCAGCTGAAATACAGTCTTTATTTCCATAAATATTTTTAGAAAATCCACTAATGAATATTTTAATTTAATGACAGCAGCTTCTTTCCAATCAATTTTTTCTTGGGAGCTACAATTAGTAAAATGATTTATTTTCACTTCTCTTATCATGTTACCCTCATGTTCATTATTGGAAGCAGCTTAGCATCTGATATTCCTAGGATAATTGAACATGGGTTTTAGTTGAATTATGCTTTAATTTTTTTTCTGATTTTTCCCCACATTATCACCAAATACTATGTCTGCAAATATGTTAATGTTCAACTGCTATGTTTACTGAGAGACATAGGTCTAATATACTTAGTGTACACTACTAATACATTACGGTTGGGATGGAAACTAGAGTTTCAAATACGTTTTCTTTCAGATACCAGCAATGGCAGCCTCTAGCAGTAGCAGCAGTGAAGAAGAACGTAGCCTCCGTGAATGTGAGCACTACGTCCAAAAACATAACATCCAGCAACTCCTGAAAGATTGCATTGTCCAGCTTTGTACAGTGCGACCTGAGAGACCTATGGGCTTCCTCCGGGAATACTTTGAAAGATTGGAAAAGGTAAAAACTAAACTTCATAAAAGAAAATGAGAAAAACACTCTCAACATAATAATGAATCCTATGCTTGACCTGGAGCACATCACCTTTTCAAAAAAGTACAGCATTATTTAGTTCTCTGAAATGTGATGAAGACCAAGCTTTAAGGAAATTGCAGAAGCAGATCTCTTTGTGTAAGATTCTGGAAAAAAAATTTATATTCATAGCAACTCTCTATGCTTGAAGAGATTTTTATTTAGAATATTTTACCTCTTTGCTTTTCACACATACAAACAAAAACGTCTGATTCTTCTCAATGCTGTCCCATCAACGGGGGATTTGCATGCTACTCAGAGTCAGTTTTGATTGGAGTAAACTATAAGCCTTGCATGCAAATAAATAAATACATGAGGTTGGTGCCATTTTATTTAATAGGAGTGAAGATGCTGCTTTCCTTAATGTTGAATCTTATATGCTGTCTTCATTGGGTTTGTTTGGCATGGCTAAGAAATCAAAATAGCTAGCTTCAGACTTCATAGTAAGCCTGAAGACATGGATTACAAACTCAGCAAGGGGATGCATAGCGCATGTCAACCCCAAATCATGATTTGGCTTAGCATATTGTGTGAAAGAATTGGTAAATGATGTTAAGGCATAAACATTGTTTACAAAAAAACCTAGGTTGTTTCACACAAAACAATAATCTGAAACAAACTACGTTATAACTTAATATGAATGCAGCCAGCATATCTGAATTGTAGAGGGACAACAAGCAAAATTTATAATGTTAATATGTTGCTAAGAAAAGACGCTTCAACTCCATAGGATTATCATAAAAATATGGTATTTTTTACATATAATGTTATGCTTATAATCCTAGAATATGGTTTTGGATGCTTTATAAAATATAATCTTCAATTTAGCCAGAACTGGTTTCAAGATATTGAGTGACTATTCATGGAACCTGCCAATCAGAATTAACTATTTTAGGGACACACGCCATAAATAGAACTAATTAATGAAGTGGGCTGAGTGACACAAGATGCTAAAATACACAAAAAGTCCAGTGTTACAGCTAATCTACCTTAACATATATGCAAGTACACTTAAATCTGTATCCTGTTTGGCTAAATATTTTGCATAGCTGCAACCATTTTATTCACATTCAAAGAGGTCCAAGTACATAAATTGTGTTTACTGCACAACATGGCTACAGTAATATTTTCTTGTTCTTTGACTGCTGTGTCAGTAACAGCTTCTCCCATCTCTATGTCAACATTCTGTGGAAGGAGAGAAGGTCAGCAACATTCATGGCATAGCAGCTGATTATCTAAAGGCACATCACAAGACCAATATTTAGCATTTTCTGCAGTCACTCTGAATTGTTAGATTAATACATTTAATTCTCTTGGGACATAATATTGGAAAACCTACATTTTGTTTTGTATAGAAGAGTCACTTTCCACATATATTGATAATTATGTACAAGTACTTTTAAATCGCCCTTTAAGGATGGACACATAAACACTACTTTGATGGGTAAGACTCTTCGAATCCATGCAGCTTTAAATTTGGCTTGATCCAAACATTGAATTATGCAGTTCTCTAAAAGCAGTCAAGTGATTGTGTGAGCTTTTAAGTTCCTGGCTTTGATTCAGAAATGTCTTGTGCCAGCCGAAAGGACTATCTCACTGGACACTAGCATGAATATCTGAATTCTTCTATTTACTTATCCCCTAGTGCCCATTTGTGTCAGGTCATAGGATTCTTTGGTTCACAGAGAATGGAATTGATTTCTACAGGGTGTTGTCATGGGAAGAAGAGGCAGCCAGTAAAATTCTTTCTAGCTCCAACAGAGGTGTCTTATGTATGAAATTCTTCATTGTAATTTAATGCTTGAAGTGCATTGTATGAAACCAATAGATTAATGTACTGATTTTTAGTTGATTTTTTTAAGCAGGAGCCCTTTGAATAGGGACTGATACTTAAGGCAAGTGTGTTTATTTTAAAACTATATTGGTCTTACGTTTAATAAAATATTAAAAATGATATGTTTTAATTTTCATCAAAAATCGGGTTTCAACAAGTATAAATAGTATGATGCAATATCTTTATAAACAATGTCCCAAATTTCCATGGTGATTTGCATAGTTTATAGATTGCATAATAAGTTGTTAATGACATACTTTGCATGTATGACAATGATGTGAATTGTTGTAATAATATAGTATCTACATTAATGGATTGCCATGAATAATGAATATTTATTTCCCTTCTGATTGAGATTTCATTCTCAAATCTACCCATGATCTGAAAGAAAATCCTAGACATGTACATAGCTGTGATACATTCTTGCACATTTTTCATAGTTATTCTCCATCATGAGATTCTGCATCATGAGAGAATTAACCCTTCTTAATTCTCAAAATGTTGCTTACTAAAATAATCACTACATTACACTATACAATATGCCAAAATGTTCTTTCAAGAACTGAATTGCTAATTGTATTGCTTGTCTAATATATTATTTATAGGATAGTAATTTATTCCAAAAGTGAACATTCACTGTTGAACCAGCAAATTTCATAAATTTATATATTGTTTTACATATGTAAGTTGCTAATTGTCTTTTTTCTTTTGTCATGTGTGATATAACATTTTAATTCACAAAAAGTTACATTTTTATGATTTTAAAATGACCGTAATTAAAATTGATTAATTAAAATAATGTTAAATTATTTTTATTTTAAAAGTTACAATTTATGCAAACTGCTAGATAAGAATTTCAGTATTATATTTAAAACTTATTCTAGCAGGTAATGACAAGATTTTTCACATCATTAGGGCTTCAGGATTTATAAATTGCCTCTTTTTTCTAAAATGTAGAAGAGTAATGCAGATTGCTCTAAACTTGCAGAAGTGTATAAATATCTCTTCCCTTTTTAAACTTTAATGCAATATGCAGCTTGATTGTATCAAAGCCTATGTCCCCTTATTGATTCAGTAATTTAGTGTTCATATGTACTTAGTAGCTTAAAATGACTTCTGCTAAGAATCAGTAATAACTTTAGGCAATTCTAAGTGCAAGATAGTTGACAAGAATTAATGTTGGTTTCTTGTAAGTATGTGATCCCGTTTCAACCGTATAGTTTGTATATGTGTCACTGTGTAAGAATTTAGTAAAACCAATTAAGAAAGAAGAACTAAACTCTAATGTCTATATGGCTTAAATTTGTTTCATTCTAGGAAGAAACAAAGCAGTTTATCTGTCAGCAGAAAGCCAGCTCTCGCACAGATTCCCGTGAAGATGAAATTTCTCCACCACCACCGATGAACCCAGTGGTTAAAGGTCGCAGAAGGCGTGGTGCCATTAGTGCAGAGGTTTACACTGAAGAGGATGCTGCCTCTTATGTTAGAAAGGTGTTGCTTCAAGTTATTACTTCATATAAGCCTTACTTCATGACTTGTATATTATTTTTTCCCTGCTTGGGCTGCTGGAACCTGTTTGGAGGAGACAAACTATTTTTGATTCTATTGTATGGTTTCATCTCATATTTTCCTGATGTTAGATCTCCTGTGATACCATCTATGTGATCTATATGGCTTTTTAATAGTTTATTCAAAGCCTGACTTTAAGAACCTGAATTATGAGAAAATCATTAAAATGTTGATTGATTCCTTGGTGTCATGTCAGCAAGAGGGATGAGTAAGACAAAAATTTTGTTGCTTTATTCATTTTATCTCCCCAGCAAAATCACATGTTTTAAATTATCTGGATGTTCAAGAGATGGATTCTAATACATTAGAATTAGAATACATTAATACATAGTTAATACAACAAATAGTGAACTTTTTTTTTGAATGTTTGGGCTTCTGCTATTTTTTTCTGTAAATATCAGTAGATCTGCTATTCTTTTGGGAACAATAACACTTTTTTTTTCCTGAAATTGTATTCAGAACATTGACAAAACAATACATTTGATCATTGGTAATTTTTTTCTTTCAAATTAATAAATATATCATTCTAGATTAAACTTACATCTTCAGAAAAATGTTTTGTGAATGTGTCAAATAAAAAAAAAGCTGGAATTCAAGGATGAATGATAAATCACTTAAAATGCCTTCAGCTAAAATTTTGTGGGTATCTTCCATACCGCAGGTTATTCCAAAGGATTATAAAACTATGGCTGCCTTGGCGAAAGCCATAGAGAAGAATGTGCTCTTTGCTCATCTTGATGACAATGAAAGAAGGTAGGGTCTCTTCATTTAAATCAAACTAGAGACTGAATATCAAGGATTATTTCCCATTGGATTTTGGGGCTTTTTTAAAATTTAACTTTGAATAAGGTTTCCCAGCAGATTTCATTAAAATTTTTGAGGCAAAAATTCTTATGTGAATCTTATATGAAACTCAACTTAGATCAAACTCAGTGTATAGCTTTTAGAATTAATTACTTTAAATATTTAAAGGAGTAATTAAAGTTTCTAACTGCATACTCCTTATTGGTTTTGCCTGAAATGTAGATTTTTAAAGGTAAAGGCAAGGATCTCAATTGCAATTTTTAATATATGCCTGAAATTGAACTTGGATTGTACTGCATCAGAATTACTGTTCTGTTTTGAATGCAGCAGGCTTTGTAACTGCTGCATACAAAACAGAATGACAGCTTGCCTGCTCAAAGTTTTGTCAGTCCAAAATCCAAAAAATGTGGATCTAGCAAACTCTGGAATCTTCAAGCTGCAGTCACTGGTTCTAAGTTATTTTAATTTAATTTTAATAGAATTAATTTTTATCTGAAACCAGCAGATTATCTGCTTGATTCCCAATTATAGAAGAGCCTTCAAATTACGTAGATATGCTGCCTTAACAGTGTCTTTTTAAAAAAAAAAATATGGGAAAATCTCATAGGAATTTGTTTTTTCAATCTCGGGAGGCTGTGTCTATGGAATATTCCTCCTAGACTGTATCCCATAGGATATTATAGTAACCTCATGTCACTCCCAGTGTTTGCAATATACTTTTTTTTACTTTGTAGGCAAGACTAGAAACATAACTAAAGGTGAATTGTAAGATTAGAAAAGAAAAATCTATCATTGTCCTTTGTTTGGCACAATTAGTACTCTCAAATTAGTTTTCAACTCAAATAAACTTTGTTTTATGAATTTAGGTTTGGGATTATTTTATAATACTTTATATCTTCTTCCTTGTACACATGCAGGGAGTAATAATCATACCTGTGTTATAAAAACTGTATTAAAGAGTGCTCTTTAATCAAACTAAGCTAGCTGTTACCTATACAAGGCTGCTTTTTAATACTATGATTCTTTTAACTTATTCAGCAGATTTTTTTTGGCAAAGTCAGTTTTTAGTTGTATTTAAAAAATGGTGTTCATTATAATTGTCTTAGAATTGAAAAATGGGAAACAAAGTGATCTGTTCACATTGTTACAGATTCCATTATAAAAATGGAATAAGGTAGGAAATAGCACCTCATTTCAGCAAGTGAAAGCCAATTGTAAAAAAAGATAAAATATAGAATACTTATAAAAACAATTCTTTCTGATGACTTAGTCTTAATTAACAATATTAGTATAAACATGTTCCACTTTTCATTTTATGCTGAGTAAATCTGTACTCTCTTTCAGTGATATATTTGATGCAATGTTTCCAGTCACTTACATTGCTGGTGAGACTGTTATACAGCAAGGTATATGATTTATTTTTTTGATTGGAATTTATTTAACTTCTAAAGTATTAGCTTCCGTTAAGGAGCCTCTGTGGCACAGTGGTTAGAGTGCAGTATTGCAAGCTACTTCTGCAGCCAGCTGTCTACAATTTGTCAGTTCAAATCCCATCAGGCTCAAGCCTTCCATCCTTCCAAGGTGGGTAAAATGAGGACCCAAATTGTTGGGGGCAATATGCTGACTCTGTAAACTGCTTAGAGAGGGCTATAAAGCACTACAAAGAGGTATATAAGTCTTAAGTGCTATTGCACTATTATGTAATTGTTTTTTTATGGTATAGGACTTGATATAGAAAGATGTTAATATATGACAGGTAGTTCTCAACTTACAACAGTTGGTTTAGTGATCATTTGGAGTTACAATGGCACTGAAAAAAAGTGACTCATCCTTTTCAAACACTTATGACGGTTGCACATAATGAAACTTCAGACAACATAATGAAACTTCAGACGCTTGACAACTGAATCATATTAATGACGGTAGCAGTGTCCCAGTAACATATGATCACCTCTTGCAACTTTTTGATTAGCAAAGTCAGTGGAGAAGTCAGATTCACTTAACAACTGAATTGATTCACTTCTCAACTGTGGCAAGAAAGTGCATAAAATGGAGCAAAACTGAGTTAACCACTGTTTCACTTAGCAACAAGAATTTTTGGGCTCAATTGTGGTTGTAAGTTGAGGACTACCTGTATTCACTATGCAATATATTAGGGTTTCTTCAATTTAAGTTATTCATTGTTTATTTTGCCTTGGTAATGCTTTGGTAGACATAGTAAATGGGTTAGGGTTAGGAACACAAACCATAAAAACAAATAGCAGCCAGCATTGGTTTTTGTAGAAGCTTTTATATTTACTTGAGGTAAGCTGGTTGGTCCTTAACTATCCAATCATAGCTGAATAGCTCCATCTTTTCTTAATAGTTAGACATGGAATACAAAGTCTAATTTGCATGAATTTGCAAAAACTGAAGGCAATACTGGATATTCTAAAATTATGCCAAATATAAAATTGTAATTGTATGTATTATGTTGATTGATATTCAATCTAAAAAGTTCTGTTGATGCTAAAATTAAAAGGCACATCTAATGCTTTTTAAAGAATTAGAAAAGTTATTTCACACACTTTCCTTTTCTTTCTTAAGGTGATGAAGGGGATAACTTCTATGTTGTTGATCAAGGAGAAATGGATGTAAGTTTTTTCCCCCCTGAAATATATTGATCTAGTGTCGTTGCATAGTTTTAATACATGTACGGTAATATTAAATATGGACATGATTATTAAACACAATACAAATAACCAGTTGGGATTTGAGTCACCATTATGGTCTGCCTTTCTCTAAACATGCTTTAGCCATGTGTTTTCTAATATTTTCTGATATAGCACAGGTTGAGACGAAATTAAGATATTGGTTGGTGCTTTCATTGTGTTAAGCGGTTTATTTTAATCATGGCTTATAAAATCATTACATAGTGATAAACTGATTAAGAAGTTTTCATTATTGATTCCAAATAATAATTGTAGATATTTTCCTGGCACTTTAAGTAATCAGGAATGAAAAATATGAACAATAACTACCAAAGTCATTCGGAATTGAGTGGCATACAAATTTAATAAATTTAATTTCAACATAAAGAGCTTGGCCTGGATTTCCCCATCCTATAGGACAGGGGTGTCAAACTCAGTTTCATTGAGGACCATATCAGGATTGGGTTTGACCTTGGAGGGTCAGGGCTGTAGTCATGGTGGGCGTGGGTGTGGCCATGGTGGGTGTGACATGGGACCCCACCTTGGCAGGCAGAGTTTTATAAACTTATAAAAATAGGGAGGCGTACATTTCTGAGATTTTGTTTTTTTAATACTTACTTGATCTACTTGATCACCTTATGAGAGAGAGAGACCAGATCAAGAAACTGACTCCATAGACTAGACTAGAACTACAAAATTGATGACATAGGCTACAGTAGCAGAATCCTGCAAGCTTGAAAGGTAAAATATTTTACTTTTCCTCCCTTTTATAACTTTCTGAGTCAAGGATGGCCTCCTGGACCATTCTGGAGGCTCCGTTTTGGCCCTGGACGAAAGTGGTTGTGGGGGGGGGTGCACCCCACCCCGCCCTATTTTTGCTGTTATTTCCAGACCGGCCCTGTGGGCTAGATCTAAGCACCCCACAGGCTGGATGTGCCCCTGCTATAGGAGCTGTAAGGGGACTTGATCCAGGAGACTGGCCTCTTCAGTAGTAATTCCCACACAGTGCTCCCACTTGTAAGCATGATTCTCTCCCATCCTTATTCTCAAGAACTTTCTCAAAATGATTTTATTTCAGCAGAATCTACATTGGCACAAATCTGTTTTGATTGTTTTGTATTATCCCTGTATATCTCTATTGAATCGGCTGTTTTAATATATGGAATTGTTCACTGTTTGGATTTTCACATACAGGTTGTCCTCGACTTACAACTATTTATTTAGTAACTGTTTGAAGATACAATGGCACTGGAAAAAGTGACTTATGACCAGTTTTCAAACTTATGACCATTACAGCATCCCCATGGTCACATGATCAAAATTCGAGGTCTTGGCTGTTGGCATGTATTTATGAAGTTGTCCTGTCCTGGAATCATGTGATCATCATGTGTAACCTTCCCAGCCAGCTTCTGACTACAGAGTAAATGGGGGGGAGCCAGATTCGCTAAATTGTGCAGTGAATAACTGCAGCGATTCCTTTAACAACTGTGGCAGAAAAGACCGTAAAATGGGGTAAAACTCACTTAACAACTGCCTTGCATAGGAACATAAATTTTGGGCTCAGTTGTGGTCATAAGTCAAGGACACGGGTGTCAAACTCGCTCCATCATGTTGCTGTCATGTGACATTTTGCGACGTTTCCCCATTTGCAGAGCTGGGGTGGGCATGGCCTGTGCACGATGTATCCGGCCCGCAGACCACCAGTTTGACACCCCAGTCAAGGACTACATGTATACAGCTAAAGCCATTCAGATTGGAGTAGTCTATAAGCAGTGTAAGGGGGGAAAAAACCCTAGTAGTACCTTTGAAAAGGCAGCATAGAAAGGGTATTGATCTCTTGAACTTTGGTGTTGGAAAAGATCCTTGAGTGAATCCTTTTATCATGCAAATAATGCTTAAACATTTTTCCAAACAGGAGCAGCCTCTCGGCATTTCCATATTATGGACACATGAGAAATTATTAAGATGTTATTTGTTTGATTTCATTCTGTTCTGGAAAGGCCTCAGTGCTGATAACAAAATTTAAAACAGAATGCAAAAAGATTTTTGCATTTTTTTAAAAAAAGCTAGAATTAACAAAGTGCATATCGAAACCAAAACATAATAGATTGAAATAAATGTGTATATATTCCTCCTCCAGGTTTATGTGAACAGTGAATGGGCCACCAGTGTTGGAGAGGGGGGCAGCTTTGGAGAACTTGCACTGATCTATGGGACACCCCGAGCAGCAACTGTCAAAGCAAAAACCAATGTGAAACTGTGGGGTATTGATCGAGATAGCTATAGAAGAATTCTTATGGTAAGTATTTCAGTGTCTTGAAAGAAACAATGCATTTATACCATACTTTATTTGGGGAAGCATTTCAGTAAATAGTAGAATTATAATGAACTGATAGGAAGAACTGAATATAATAAGCCTTTCACAAAATGGATGTTGGATGTTTATATTATATTAGTGATCAGATCAATAACCATGTCTCTGCTTATTCTATGATTAAGATATCACAAATTGGCTGTTTATACTAAATGATACGGAAATGAGGCACAGTTCTTTGATTTCCACTCTTGCGGTGGGACTTGTGCAATTTTAGCTTGCTAAATCACAAACATATTTATTGTTTTCATCAATGAAGATGAATGACTTGACAGCTCAGTTTCTGAAATTCACACTTGCTGCATTATAAATGTTAAAAGTGAATTACAGACATAACAGTTTTCTCAGAAGATGTGAGCCATATTGTTAAGCTTTTCATTTTTAATGTGCCATTTAATCTATTTGCACTTCAAAATCTTACTTTAAATGAATACCTTTTATATGGTGAGAAGGCAATGAAACTCCAATCATCAGCATTCTAATCAAATTAATGTATTCAACTGTAAAGTAAATTGATGTTGCTAAATAGATACTGGTTGAAGGAAACAAATTCTTTTAATAGGCAGATATACATAAGAAACTCTTGCTTATAATAAATTTGTTTTGTCTCATGATGGCTAGAGAGTACAAGGAAAAAAGAAATTAATGAAAATAACTTCTCTCTATACTATGAAGAGAGCCATGGCCATAATAGTACACTATTCAATGCTGTGAACAGAATATAATTCATGTGAATGTTGGACCTGATATCTATGTCCCAAGAGGGCTTTTGTTTTTGTATTATACTTTAAAAGCCTCTTAAAGGTAAAAAAACATTTCCTACCAAATTTAGCAGGACTTACATCTAAATGGATGCACATAAAACTGATTTTTAAAAAATAAATGGACCTAATATGCTATATAGATACTTAGTGTAAGAATCTATCTGGCATATTATGTTTATTTATTTTTTAAAAGATGTTAAGTCATCTTTTTGCTCTCCTGGGTTTCTAAATAATACGCTTTTAAACTATTATTTACTATACAAGCATTCAATCAGGAACTAACAAACCAAGAACTCAGGACTATTTGTGACCTTAATATGCTCATGACAGGAGAGTATTCTGGCTTTCTAGAACAAAGCAAAACAGAATACTGATTTTCAGGTGTATTTTCTTCCCCAACTTCCAGGGTAGCACACTGAGGAAGAGAAAGATGTATGAAGAATTTCTTAGTAAAGTGTCAATACTTGGTAAGTGTGACAAATTTCTTACATGGGCAGATAAAGAATATACATGTGTTTTGTTATTCTATATTTTATTGCTGCTGTTCTCTTTTTTATTTATTATTTTGCATTGTGTTGTATTGCTGTTCTCTTCATCATCCTGCTTATACTTTGTCAATAGTCTGAATGACATAAATTCAGGGGTTTTGTTCTTTTGACAAAAGTTTTGATTTGTGTCTAACTTGTATTGCTGAAAAAAATGCAGAAAATATTTTTATTTCTGTATGTGCTTCAGCATATAGCTTCCTCTTAAATATTTTCTTTCATAATTTTGTTTGGTGTCCTTCACTCTTTTATTTCTTATTCAACTCTTTTCCTACATCTTTATGCTTCCTATATATTTTTGTGTGTTTGCGCATACCCATGCCCATATCATTTACTTGTTTATGTACTCGTGTAGCCTGTCTCCAAAACAGGATTTTAGAGTCCAGCCACTGCTTCAGAATATCTTTCTGCGCTCCATATTAAATTGTCACATTTTTGCAACCTTGCTTGAAAAGAAAGCAACTGCACATGAGAAACTTACTGCTTATAAGGATCTGTTACATTATTAGTTGTATGTTTACTTATTTACAGTATTGTCAATTGTAAGCATTTAATTATTTCTAAAGATAATTAATTTTTGATCACTTTATTGTTTTTAAAATACCTTGTTTGTGTTGATAAACTGTTACGAAGAGATTGAATAATCCACTACCCTAAGAAGTAATTTGACTTTGATTCAGGGAACGTTTTGGTTTCTTAAGACATAGATAAACAGAATGGGTTTGTTTTGGAGTTCTGTGGAGTATTATCAGCTCTGTGAGTGAGAGAATCTCCTTATTGAACCTAGAACATTGCTGCCAATAAGCAGGGATGTCCATTAGAATTGCCAGTGTTTACACTAAAAGTTCCTTCTTAAGTTGCAGGCTCTTAACTTCCAGCAGCCCCAATAAATAGTGTGATCAGTATTGGGCAATATTGGAATCTGTATTTCAGTAACTTAAGAGGTCACAGTTATCTTAGTCTTGGTCTACTAATTAAAACATAGTCACCTAACCTGCTATAAAGGACCTTGACAACCCTTTGGGCATTGTTGAGGTATTATTTGAATTGCCAAATTTGTGATGTGAATGAATGTCAAATTGTTCATAGTAATGTAAGAGATTGTGATTGAACAAGTTACATAATGGATGCTGGGGTAGATAGGAGAAGACCCTCATTTAAAGTAAACAAATATCCTAATTTTAAAAATCTTTGCAGCCCAGCAAAATTTGCTATTAAATAATTACTTTTTAATTTAGAATCCCTCGACAAATGGGAGCGTCTCACAGTGGCTGATGCATTAGAGCCAGTACAGTTTGAGGATGGACAAAAAATTGTGGTGCAGGGAGAACCCGGAGATGAATTTTTCATTATATTAGAGGTGAGTAATAATAGTCTGTATTGTAGTCTGTATTGTAGTCTGTAATAATAGTCTGTATTGACTGTATTGTTAGATAGTAACAGCTTTAGCTTCATTTCTCTTGATTTAACTCTTGATTTTTTTTGTTTTGTACTATTAGAATTCAATCTCTATCATGAAATGTGAGTTGTATTTTTGAAAATGTATGTAAAAATACTAGCAATACTACACTGAGTTTAAAATGGCTCTCAGTAAAATTAATTATTTGATCATGATCAGAGAATATGATTTTTTTTAAAAACCATACAGCAGATAGATTATCCAGTTTGGTTATAAAACAAACTTGTGGGTAATATATGGCACCAAGGATGGACACACAGCCTCTCTCAGCAGGTCTTAAGAGTCACGTGAACAGATTAATCTGAGTTATTAAATGGAGATTCCTCTGCTTTCTGAGTCTATCATGAAACTGTTGTCTTGATACATAGAAAAAAACTGTCACTAACCCTGTAATTCCTTTACAGGGTACAGCTGCTGTGTTGCAGCGCAGGTCAGAGCACGAAGAATTTGTTGAAGTGGGCAGACTTGCACCCTCTGATTATTTTGGTGAGCTTTCCTTTGTCTTCCATCCTTTCTACTTCCCATAAGCACATTAGTATTACCTCACCATATCTCTCTAATAGAGCTTAAGTCAGGGAAATGCATTGCACCAGCACAAAATGTTGACATCAAACTGATACTAATCCACATAGAAAAAGTTACTTGAAAAAGATGCAATATTACTCAGAGCTAAATAGATTTTAGTGAAGGTGATACACCTTCTTGGCTGGTGATGACAGGATAACTTTTATGTCCTTACCAATCTTCTTAAATTCCGGCTTGGAATCTGTCATAAGAGATTTGGATTGGAACATCAGAAATTGATTGAAATAAAAGTCCCCTATCTAGATAATTACGATGATCTTTGGAATAGGGAGTGGATTGAGTTAAAGCAGTATCATATTATTTGAAGAAAGAACATTGTAGTTGTCCTTTAAATATATTATGGATCATTTCCAGAAATGTGGGGAAATGGTTTTCTCTCCTGTCTGAGGGGATTAGAATGAGGCAATTGGCTTCTTCACACTGTTTTGTACTAACTCCCCAAAGCCCAATAATATTAATAGCAAGCCACTTGGTATGCAAAGAAGTCTCCTGCCCTATGTTAACTATAGTTAGCATAACTTACTTTTTCTAACTGAAATTAATGTAAGAAGAGGGAAGTCAGACTCATATACTTTTCCATCAATCCTATATATAGAATTGTATCATTTTGTAAAATACATATTCTAATATATGTGGCACTAACAATGAGTAACAGGTATAAAACCTACAACCACAAGTGGTGTTAAGTCAGTTGAGGATCATTATAAATACATTGAAAAGAGGAGAGGAACCAAAACACAATATGTTTAATCCAGATTTAATGTCTATTGGCAGTTCTGAAAATATTTTTTATTTTAAAACACCGTTCTTCAACTGTGTAAAAGAACATTTTTAACCATTTGAGCTTGAAAAACGTCTCTACATTCACTATTACTTGGAACAAGTGAATCCTTCCCCAAATTTTGAGGCTGTGAAGCAAAATTGCATTGAATAATAATCAGTGATTCTCCTAAGGGAAATAAATGGAATGAAAAGGATTCTCTTCATTCTTAACAAATTTTACTTATAATGTCTAAGATCTAGTTTTTCACTTGAAAGAAAAGTCCAGTTTTCATTTGGAAGGCAGATGGGAGTCTCAGATGGGAATTGCATCTCTATTCATATTAACAGAATAGACAACCTTTTGGTAATATTAACAGAATAGACAACCTTTTGGTTACTAAAGTTTATATTCTGCTTTTTGACTATGAGAGCAACAGTGGGCTGTTCCTGTTCCAGGAGCCATCCTGGAAAACGTGTGGGATTTGGTTTTTTTCTGTTTTTTCATCCTTGGGGTTGTGAGGGATTTTATTCCTTTAATGTATGTAAAACTTATTTTAAAGGTTTAGTTGTGTTTCCTGTCTTTAAATATCAGAAGTTTTCTCCAGTTTTAAATCATGGCTGGAGGAAGCTCCAAAAATCAGGTCTGAGGATTTCATGTATCTTTAGAGCCTCAGGTTGCCCACCTCTAGTATTATGTTATGACATTTCACAACAATCATTTCCAAATATTTCCTGTTAAGGGAAATTGCCTAAGCCTCATTAGTGGGGACTAATGAGAGTAAAAAATAACTACTGCAGTTCAAGAGTTATTACAGTTTTTCTGTCATAATGAAAGAGAGCATAGTTTTGGTTCCGTTCATAAGTTATCAGTTTTCCATTAATTGGTCCATTTATAATAAATGTCTCTTTTTTTTCCTTGTAGGCGAAATAGCTCTATTAATGAATCGTCCTCGTGCTGCCACTGTTGTTGCTCGTGGCCCCTTAAAATGTGTAAAGCTTGATCGGCCCAGATTTGAGCGTGTCTTGGGTCCATGCTCCGATATTCTGAAACGGAACATCCAGCAGTACAACAGCTTTGTCTCTCTCTCTGTCTGAAGTCTCCCTCCTTCTCAAATACATGCTTCACAAACGCAGACTGTTTTCATTACTCTTGTGCAGAGCCACACGGCTACTGGCTATTGCAGCTTCCTGTCTGTCTGAGAGTGGGGGTGGGTGGGTGGGTGGGTACGGGAAGAAAGCGGTTGCTTTTCACAGCGTTTTAAATTTTAGAGCATTATTTTGGTGCTCCCAGCCCCATTGAAAATAGGGAATTGTATGGAAACTTTTACTGTTACTGCTTCTCTCTGTGCAATGTACACTGTCCAATATGGCCAGTGACTGCCATTCCTTTTGCTGGGAACAATTCCTGAGCACCGAGGTTATTGCAGTAGAGTTAAGGATGTAACGGTGGGAAATTCTAAACGTGCGTTCTCCTCAGTGAGTCCCATGTTCCTTTTAAATTGTGATCACTTTCTACTGTACTTTTCTCAGACAGAGAAATTTACCTTCTCAGCTCAACCTCTTGGCAAAATGTTCTGGATATGGGTGATGTTTGGTTAAGTTTACTGAGATCAGCTTCTAGTAAAACCAGAGTTAGAAGTTTGATAGTTTTGTGCATCTGTATCCATTTCAAGATGGCTTGGTTATTGTTTGTCAGGTTTTTGTATACAAGCTTTTGTTTTGGCAACTATTGCCAAGTGTTGCTATCTTTGGCACAGCAAAAAGTTTTGCCTGTTCTCAGATGTGAATATTTATAATATATGCCTCTCCTGATTTTTCTCAAAGGGCAACCAATGTGCTAAAATATAGGTGTAGGTGTTTACACTAGTGTACTGCTCCTCAGCTAGTGTGAGTTGTAACACCCTATCCACACTATCTAGAACAGGAAGCTGAAGGGTGCATTCTTATGTATGCAGTCTTATGTCTGCCCTTTCCAAGCTTTGCCTTCCCTGTTAACTTTGGAACCAGATAGTTCAGTGATGCTATTTATGTAACTGGTGGTCAATGCAGGATGGAATATACAGTCTAATTTAGGAAGATGATAGGACTCTGGCTAAAATGAAAGACAGGAAGCAGAAGAAGCAATGCCTATTTCCTGTCAAACTCCTAAATATTTAGCTGGAAGGAGACACATGCTCTAGTTAGTGTGGCCTCACATTCTCATTGATCTAGTGGAGTAACTAATTTTGGAAAGTTAATCCTGTTGTCAAGTCGGAAGTGTGTTTCAGTATTTACCAGGTTTGTGTTAACAATATTCTGCGTGGCACTCAGTGCTACCCATTAGCTTTATTGAATTTCACAGTTGGAGAATGTAAGCAAGTCAGTTTATTTGTAACCTAAATGATCTAAAACTACTGTAGAGCTTTATATGGGAGTGGCAGCAAGTGTTTTGCATTGTTTATGCAACTATTTCTCACAGATCTTACTTGCCCGGTTAGCAGCCCCTCCCCTTGGACAATTGGACCTGGTATACACCTTTCTGACTTGCTGGCTGTTGGAAGAACATTTGCTAATCATACTTTGCAGTTGGAGGAATAGGAAGCTTAGTATATTTTTTGGGGGGGGGAAATCTGGGCAGCCATTGATATGTCCGCATATCTGGATTTGGATTAAATGTAAAATATACATTGTTAATTCCTTCTGCTCATCCTAACCACCTTGGTGAGGTAAGGATATCCACCTGCATTCTTCAGAGATCCATGTTACTTTTTTCTCTAAATTCTATTCAGTTCAAATCTACAGGGATTATTTTTCCTTTTGTTATTTTTGAAGCTTGATTTGATCCTTGTTGAAGCACCAAAAAGTTTTTAAATGTTATGTAAGCGCTAAAAAAAATGCACATTTTTTTATATAAGGCTTTCTAATCAAGTTTCACTACTGCGTCTTTTTAGCTTGCTGTTTACTCCCTTTTGTAGTTTTACCAACAGGATTTTAAGATGAACCAGCTACGTCTGAGTTAAATATTAATCACAGTTAAAGCTTTACCTTTGTGTGCAATTTAAATATGTTTGAATCCACAGTTGGTATAGTTTGCCTTAGCTAACATTCAGGGCTTTAGAGGATAATCTGTTTTGCTAGGTCACCTTAGCAAATTTAAAAAATCTACTGCCCTAGAGTGCTATAGTAAACCAGAGGACCATTTTTGTATTGTTACCTGACTATAAGTCTGACTTATTGTATGTGCTCATATATTCCTTTTGTTATAGATTGTCCTAATGGCAGGTAAAGCAATAAAATGATTTAAATTCTTAAATGTAATCAGTGTTTCATTTTTGTGGGCCCTTCCCCTGCTAATTCTTGGATTTTAACAAAGTAGCTGGGGATGGTCTTAATTTTTCTGATACTGACCCACTTTTTACCTTAGCTAATGTAACATAGTTCCGTATATATTGTTAAACATGAAATTGTCAGCTCTTCAAAGTGGATCAGGCCTCTCCTATTTGACCACTGACTTGGTACTGCCTGTTTTCCTGTCTCTCTCAGCCATTCATTCCCTCTGCTCTCTATTTCACTAGGATTGCTATAGAGGAGTTTCACCTTGGAAAATAGTTATTTTTGAGTTAAATTATGAGTAGGGCTAGTTTCCTTTGATACAGAATTTTGATTCATATAAACATATAAATTGGGTGGGATTCATAAGAAGAAACTTGTTGCAGTTAAATTATATGGAAAATGGAGCAAAAGTTCACACACTGCACTAAAACATAAAGATAAATTTTGGCTTAATGTGGAATGTAGATGTAACCTTTATGGCTTAGTGTGTAATGTGCAAAACGGTCCATTGCATTGTAATCAAACCATAGATCAAAAATTCCAGCAAATGTTTAAATCAATAATTAGTATGTTTTGCGGATCACTTTATGATGAGCAATTAATAAACATGGGCACTCCTTTAAGATTTAAAATTGAACTATGGGCTGACTGTCAAATAAATGGATCTTCTGATGCTTTGGCATCAACCAGTGCAAGAAAACATGACTTTCATATATATAAACAGTTTGTAAGATTACTTGATAAGAAACTATTGGGGTGTTCAATATTGTAGGGGATTGTTATTCCTTTTGATAATCAAGTATTTAGGTAGACTTCAAGTGTTTGATTATGGCCAACACATTCACCCTGGGGTTTTTCTTATACTCATGAGTGATGAAGTACACCAAGTTAGTATTTAAACTTCCTGTAATGAGAGAAACCGCTCTTGAACCTCTCATATAATTGATGTTAGCATTAAAAACATGCAAATATACCAAAAAATAGAGCACCAGAGATAATGACTTTATGGAAACATCAGTTTTTACTGCCTGAGATCCGAAGTGACTATGCTGATGCATTTCTTTAATTCCATGCGCCTTGGAACCAAACAATTTATTTGAAGAATGTTTTAAATCTTCATATCCGGAAGCTATCAGCAGAGGGAGCTGAAATACTGTACAATCATTGACATAAATAATATAAACAATTTAATACTCTGATGAACCATTGTTCAAAGATGGTAATCGAGCTGTAGTAAAAATAAAAATTTGTAAACTTTGGTTGTCAATGTTACACGATCCTAAAATATTAAGTATTTTCCTCCAGGGAAGTTTATGGAGAATCTCCAGTAATTTCCCCAAGGTTAAAATAATGATTTGAGTATCCTTTCGAAGAGCAATTGGAGGTTTGCAGGGAGTTGCTATGCTACCCATGGACTCGTACAATAAAGCACGAATATGCTTTTGTGTGTCCATAGATAGTAATTGGAAAGTGAATTTCTACATTTCCTATTTGTAGAAGATCTAGTTTTGGTATGTTAATTGCTTTTACAAATGATGGTGCTTTCATTGTTAAAACTGGAATACACTAAGTATACCTCAAATTGGAGTTTTTTCCTAGCTTGTACTCTCCAAATACCTACACCAGAATTCTCAGCCTCCATGGGCTATAATAATAATGAAGCTGTTGGAATTTCAGAAAGTTGCCAGATCAGGTTTGGAAGATCGTGTGAAACTCCAACATCGAGTAGGAGTTGACACTAGATTTTTGACTTGTGTCATTCTTTGTAGTTCCATCTCCATACCTCCTATACTAAATAACTTTGCCAAAAGCCAACAAGTAATCCAGGGCGGGGAGGGGAGGCACGCCACTCTATCCAGATTCCCCACCCCCCAAACATTGGAGACTGTGTAGGCTGCATCTGTGCTGTTAACTTCCATGATCAGTGCAAAACATCTTCAACAGATTGTTTTCAGATGTGAAACCAACAAATGTTTTGAATTACTGGAGTGAATAGGGGCAACTCATGGAATTGTCAATATTCCTTGGTGTACTAAACCTTTGTTTTGAAGGGCTACTGGATAAACTCAAGTTTATTTGAAAGGGTAGAGATGGGATGATTTCAATCACCAGACTTTTTAAAAAAACTATATTTTAATGATCTTGCATAAATTTACTAGGGAAAGAAACCGTAACAGTTGATAGCTGATTTCCTCAAACACCTTTCTTGCATTATTGGCATCATACACTACTTCGATGAGATGTTGTAGACCAGAAGAAACTGCCATAGAGCTGCCAGCCTTTAATGTTTCCCTTGCCGGTGCCAGATAGTTTTAGAACTGGGGAATAAAAAAACATCAAATTTGGTACTCACAGTCAGTTCACACCATGCCTACAGTGTGTTAAAGGATGACTATTGGCAAAAAAAAGATGAGGCTGTAAATGAATGGGAAGTGTGTGCAGTTGGCTGGCACCCTGAAAAAGCATTGTGGTGCAAAATCTTTTTCCAACTTCCATTAGTGTTTCATAGTGCTTTCAAGAGTTGATGTAGATCACCTTGGTACATTTCCTTCTGCTCACTGCTACAGCCCATATTCTGTTTGCTACTCTTAACATCAGACATTGCATTGAAGGCTCCTCATTGTGTGTGTGTAACTTCAAAATTCCATACAATTATACTATTTGCTTGAAAAAGCATTGCTACAGCTAGCTGGTGATGAGACATCAATCAAGGTGCTAGTCTTAGTCTTCATTATTCCAAAGTGAATGGCTGGAAAGATTTCAGTGGCAATTGCTATAATGTGAAATTGCAGCTTATATGCATTACCTTGATATCAAGGACATTTGGAATCATCTGAAGGCACCCACAATGCAACCCCAAATTGATGGATCCTTTACACAAAAGAAAGCATTTTCTCTTTCCTTGGTAACCTTGACACATGTGGGTTTTTATGTTTTAAACTAGCATTTCTGTGCCTGCTTTTTTCCTTTCTATTGTGGAGTTGTCTAAACTAGGTTAGAGCCAGAGTACCTGCCACATCAGCACAGTTCCATGGCTTTTTTTTTTTTTTTTTTTTGGCCAAAGGCTACTAGACTTTCTACTACGGTTCTCCATAAACTAAACATCCCTGAGGAGGTACAGGCCCACCTTCTAAATACTGTCCTAAATCTCAATGTGGATGCATTCCAAAAATGGATGTTTTTTTTAGTGTCTCTCCCTTTCTTTATTCAAACCACCAAACAAATCTAGCCATGATGAGCCCAGGCAAATCCTGAGAAGGACATCGTTTGGTAGTTACAGAAGACGGTGTATCTTCAATCTCTTGGAGAAGAGGCAGGAAGATTGTGTAGGTGCGATGTGTATGTGATTCCCATCTATAAATTTGCGGCCAAAGCTGCAAGTTTCAACCACCCAGTGGTTTCCTGATTCTGCTGGGATTGCCTTCCTCCCAGGTCTTGATGTCCAGATTAAGGAAGCACAATCATTTCAAGAAGTTCAGGTTCCAGGTTTTTCCCTCCCCCCTTGACTCTAGCTTGGCTGTGTCATTCTGTCAAAAGCCATGGGTCCCAAAGGCTTTGTGTCAGCCACAACAGTGTCTTCTCCAAAGGCCTCTATGCATTCCTCCACAGTTTTCAGGATAATCTGTAACCTCCTGTCCAATGCCAAAAGGTGGCCTTCGGTCAACACGGGGGCGAGACTGTCTTGAAGGAGGGACTCCCTCATGATATCGCTCAGCTTGTAGTCTGACTTGGCTAACAGCTTCAGCCGTAATAAAGTGATCTTCTTTATTCTAAAGGAAAGGAAAGGAAAGAGATTTGAGTCAATCTGTTTATGAAAAAAAAACACCTTTTAAAATCCTGTTTTACCAGCTGCAGCTAATGAAGGGAATCAGGGCCCTTTTCTCCCCCGCAACCCACGTAACTCACGTTGCTCCCTTCTCCATTCCTCCCTGTGTGCCCTAGGATGAAGAGGGGATGGGCCTGATCTTGATAACCCTCAAGATCTAAGCATTCTTATTTATGTTTGAAACCTTGATGTGCCAACTTTATAGCTGAACATAACACTTTGGCACACAATGAAAAACTATGGCAAGCTCCTAACCTGTGCTGCTTACCCAAGCCATGAGGCTTTTTTCTGGAAAGGCCAAACTTAAAGAAGTTCAGTCCTCTGTCTTGATTATAGAGGCAAGGAGTTATTGGTAACATTTCTTGGTTTTTATTCTGGTAATAGTAAAAGGTCTGTTCTCTGTTTGACGCTGCTTGGTCCATTCCCTATCACACGGGTGTCTGTGTCACATTTGGCACATTGCCATCACATGATTTTCCGTGACTTTTTCTCCTTCGCGGAGCTGGGGTGGGCGTGGCCTGTGCGTGATGCATCTGGCCTGCAGGCCACCAATTTGACACCCTTGCCCTTATCAGCCTTTTTCATACTCTCCCATTTTAACATATTTGAAAAATAAACTAAATGACAACACAATGGAAAAAAGAAAATGAGAAAGAATCCGGGGGATGGAAGGTGAAATATTAGTAAATAAATAGAATATACAATTTTAAAAATCAATGCAGAACTCTAAACAACCATTGATTTATATTATTTATATTATATAAATAACCCCCACTATTTGCCATTAGCTGAAATAATTTCACGTGATCTTATAAAAAAGTAAAAGAATCACAAAAGACAAGTATAAATACTAGAAAATAATTAGTGTAAAATCAGTTCATTTCCTCCCATTGCATGTGACCTATCCATAATTGCAAAGAGAGATGAATAATAATAAACGTTGGAAATGTTGTGACACAGAATGAACATCTTACCATATCTGTTGGTCATGTAAAAAAATCAAAAGCATTGGAAGGATATATACATAATTATTTACAAAAATCTTTAAAAGAAACCTTGACCTGAATTCTCAGAGTAAAAGACCACAACACAAAAACAGCCGCTACTCCAGGAGTCTTTCCAGAACAAACAAGCAAACAAATAAAAGAATCTACTGAAATATATGCTGTTGTATGTAAGAACAAACTTGGTCCAACATTGGTACTTTGCTAACAATATCAGTTTGGGAGCACAGGTTTGAGAAATAGGTACCAGTAATAATTTTAATAATACACATCCAGAGTAGAAGTTTGAGTAAATTGAAGCAAAATGAGTTTCCTACCTACGTACAGCTATTACCTATCACACAGCAGGGGAAACCCACAATACTTGCACCACAGTTTTTAAGGGGAAAATATTGACTATAATGACTTTAACCATTAGCAGTTATAATGTTTATAAATGATTCAATGTAATCACCCTATCATCCTTTTAAAATGCTATACTGAGTCAGGAAAAGATTTTGGCAAAGAACATGTGATCATTTCAGGGTGGGAGGGGGCAAAAGCCAATTTAGAGCATATGAACTTGAAGGACATTTAAAAGATTTTAGTGGCAGCTCTATAATTATAAACCAGATGGATTTGCGAGGTGTGAGTAATGAACAACTCTTGAAACCAGACCTGGAGGCTCTGTATATCTATATGGCTTCAGACAATGATTTTGGCATTGGCTTCTATAGAAATTTAGAGGGGATATAGTGGAAATTGGTTAGCTATGCTGGAGAAAGAAACCCAGAGGATGAATAACTCTTTGCCCAACCTCTTGAAGGACTAGCTGTTGATTTATATGAATTAATAAAAGAATAACCTGGAGGGGACATAGGCACTACAATTTATGCGTAAATCCTATACCGCAAAATGACTGCAGGGGGACACAAAAGAAATGGATGAAGTTTTGGTTCCTTTTAGAAGCCGATAAAGTCTTAATGTTCTTGACAGGGATCAAAATGAATGCCTCAATTTCCTTGTGCTTTGATGGATAGCAGATCTGAAAGGGAAGGCAATGAAATCTTGGTGATTGCACCCAGCTTAGAATTCATTGTATTCTGAGCTGGAGATAATTTAGAAAATTATTTATTTATTGAATGTATTTGCTGCCCATCTTGTAGCAAATGGCTCTGGGCTATAATAACTGCAAAATAATTTTGTTAAATGTGCTAGATGTTTACGAATCAATTGAAAACGCACATAGACGGTTGTGAACAAATGCAACATTGTCCAAGGTGTGAGACTCTTTTTTCCTGGTTCTTCAGGACTCCTTCTCACTTTCCAGATAGTGAATCTGGGAGATAAAAAGGAGTTGGGGAAATCCTTTGGTGATTGCTTCATGTTCTAACAACTTGGATTTCTTGAACTTGTCTTGTCTTATTTAGCATAGTTAGGGAAAACCGGATGATTACTTGCTTGCTAGCTCTTCAGGCCACAACATGTAGCCTTTCTGTTTAACTAGACTGATGTGGAAAGGCAAGTACTTACATGCAACACTGTTTAAGTGGAGCCAAGATGGAGATCTCATCATAGGAATGTTTCCCAAATCTGTGAGAACAAAGAAGAAAAGGTCAATATCAAGGGCACCGCAAACAACCCAGGATGCTGGAAAAGAATGTCTTTCAGAGTGATCAATAGAAGACAAAGGCCTGACTTGAGACTGACTGAATTTGTATCCAAACTGCAGACATACAGTAGGTAGTTAGATGGAAGACGCTTGACGGAATCAACAGATGGCAGCATCTAGCCAATGTTGGCCGAGCTTGGAAGCTAAGCAGAGACAGTCTGATTCATATTTTGGTTTGGGATCATTTAGGGATTGCAGGGTTGTTGGCACAAGTTTGAACCAAAGAAAAAATTCTGAAAAAGGATGTGAGAAACCACTTCTTTAACTTTGCCAAAAAACAACAACACAGATGACAGTATGAAGCATAACCGAAGGGTGTGTGTTTACTGTAGGAAGTATGCCTTATCTCTTGCCCCTTAACTTCCCAGTCAGCCTCTATAATTCTGACTATATTGCACCCAAGGCCAAGGACAGCTGTGCCACATTTTTGAAATCATAGCTCCAGTGAGCACCAATATTGCTAACCCCTTCTGAAGTCACTTAACAATCCAACCTGGGCGAGGGGAGATTGGGTTTGCTAGTTTGCTGCAGAAGCCTTGTGCCGCTAGTCATGCTGCTTCTGGTTTCATAAGCCCTGATGTCCTACAGGGGTATCAAACTGGTGGCCCACGGGCTGGATGCAAACCACAGCTCCGCAAAGGCAAAAAAACATTGCAATACGTTGTGATCAGTGGTGGGTTTCCAAATTTTTCCCTACCTGTTCTATGAGCAGTTCTGTGCATGTGTGCTCACAGGGCTCGAAGACCGACCTCTGTCCTAAATGCTGGTGAGTGAGCTGAGCTGTTTTTTTAGCTCAGCTGAGGCGCGACAATCCGCTCTGCTGCATGAATCAGCTGAGCTAAAAAACAAGGGAATATAGGAGAGCTAACGGTGGGGGCGGGTGGGGGGCGGATCTCCAAACTAGTCAAAATTTCCGCTACCGGTAGGTCAGAACAGGTCTGAACCAGCTGAATATCTCCTCTGATCATGAAACGTCATGTGATGCAATTGAATTTGACACCCGTATCCTACAACAAGAGACGCAACTTGCTGGTAAACCGAGATGTCCATCAGGGACTACAGATGTTTAGAGTAGCAATCTTGCAACAAGTACAGAACCAGCCATTGCCTGTCCTGCTCTGAAAGGGAGAATTCCCTACACTGTACTGGTTTTTCACATGTGATATTTCTGCCCTGATCAAGTGCTTTCTCTCCCCCTCTCTTACTCCCTCTATCTCCCTCAGAATTTCCTAATCAATATATTTAGTCCTCTGGGTTAAAATTAATAATTTCTCACGTTTCCCAGAAAGATCTAAGCAGCCTAAAGCCAATACAGATTGCAGAATGTTGGAATGTTCATGTCAGGTGCATTGATTTCCATTAATAGGTGAAAAGCTCAGGTAATATCAACTCAGCATGTACCTCATTTAGTCCTCCCTGCTTAGAAAGATTAGGGCACATGTATGAGACCCAGGAAAAGATGGGATGTAACTTGCATTATCTCATACCAGTATTTGGCAGACTAGCTGGGGATGCTAGTAGTTGTGGTTTAGCAATATATGAAATCCACAGGCCCTCCTGCAGGAGCCATGGCTCCTGTTCAGTATCTACATGAAGCTGTTGAGAGGGGCCATCTGCCTGCATGGATTCAGGTATCATTAATACTGAAATCATAGTCATACACCCCACACCCAGGATGAACAGGAGACATAGCGTAGGTCCTTTTCCATCCTGGTATGAGCAAGTTTCTACACTCACAGTGTCTCTGAATGGATGGAGCCTGAGCCTTCCCATTCAGACTCTAATAGTCATCAGGCAATGAGATTTGATCTTGACAGTATCACAAGGCTAGGATGAGTATCTGCTAAATATCACCATACTGATGATATCTGCCTCTGTGTCAACGAATGATGTCATCCAGGGCTTTGGGTGGACATTAAACATGAGTGTCAAGAGTTTTGAGCCCTATGACACCCTACAATTTAGGTTTGGCCTCTTCCCTCATCAACATTGACTGAAACTGACCATGGAGAAAGAACAACTACCACAACATCACACATTTCAATCTTAGTCCTGTCATCAGTCCAGAAGGATAATTTCTTCAATGGTATTGAAAGCTCCTGAGAAATTAAGGAGAACCAGGACCAGCACCACCTTTATCCTGTATTTGCGTATGGAGATTCTTACTCATCCAGGTCATGGTTGTCCCAAAAGGCAACTGGGCTTTCTGGTTTTTCTTTGAAGATGTTTCACTTCTCATCCAAGAAGTTTCTTCAGCTCTTTTCATCCAAGAAGCTTAAAAAGCTTCTTGGATGAGAAGCTAAACATCTTCAAAGAAAAACCAGAAAGTCCAGTTGCCTCTTGAAAAAAAAAACCCTTTGGCTCTATCCTGCATTGCATCCTGTCCTGAAAGTCAGCTGAAAAGGGTCCAGATAATTCATTTCCTCCAAAGCCCTCTGAAGGTACCTGACCATTTTCTCAATGATATCCCCCCAAACAGAGATGTTGAAGATTATGAAAATTGTCCCAAGTCAACAATCATTTCTTAAAGAACAGGGACACTGGGATCTCCTTCAAGGCAGGCAGAACCACCCTCCCCTTCAAGGCTTAATTCACCCATCATACTGACCCAACCATAATTTTGTCAAATTCATATTTGAAAATTCATCTAAACCCAATATCTGAAGTAAATACTAGCCAGTAAACAAGTTTGGTGTTGTCCTCCCATCAGGGCCGTCATAACAGCATTATGGGCCCCAGGCAAAGCAGTGTCCTGGGGCCCCTATGACAACCACTCACAGGAATAAAAATGTAAACGGTCAATAAAATTAAACATATATTTGCATTAGTATTAAATTTAAAAATGCAGTAAAATATAATAAATATGTTGCTATATTTATATGATACAAGGTGCATTAAAGGGTTAACATTCACAGATTAATATAGGGCCCCTATGCTCATGGGACACAGTGGCTCAGTGGCTAAGATGCTGAGCTTGTTGATCAGAAAAGTTGGCAGTTCGGCGGTTCGAATCCCTAGCACAGCGTAACAGAGTGAGCTCCCGTTACTTGTTCCAGCTTCTGCATATCTAGCAGTTGGAAAGCATGTAAAAATGCAAGTAGAAAAATAGGGACCATTTTGGTGGGAAGGCATTTAGTCATGCCAGCCACATGACCATGGAGACGTTTTTGGACAGCGCTGGCTCTTCAGCTTGTAACAGAAATGAGCCCCCTAGAACCGGAAACGACTAGCACGTATGTGCGAGGGGAACCTTTACTTTTATCTTATGCTCATGGGGCCCACAGGCAAGTGCCCATCAGGCCCCTGCGTTAAGACAGACCTGCCTCCCACACGTGATATCAGTTTTAGGAAGGCCGAAAGAGAACCTGCAGGTTTTATATGCAGCTGGCTGCAAATCAATTCCTGGCATCCTGAGGGACATCCGGAGAAGCTTCTGTCAACTTCCCTGGAGATGCAGGACTGGTCATTATCAACATTCCAGGACAAGAGGATTAAACATTCTGGCATAGTGCAAAGGAACATTGATTGTGCTATGAGCAGCCTGAATGAAGTGGTTTATTTCTGCTGCAGATGAACCTGGCCAATGACCGCTTGTCATGAAATAGGTCACTTTAAGGCAGTTCCGAGCTCTCCTCCCTTCAAAGAAGGTCTGGAAGAAAAACGTGGGAAGGAACCAGGGCTGCTGTTTTAGTTCAACTTGGGATTTTATCTTACGTATTGCCCAAACCAATATTGTGTCTGATTATATTTTTGCGATCTGTGTAACTGAAGTCCAGTTCTATCTGCAAATTGTCAAGGCCGGTGCTTCGGTGGGGAGAGCACTGATAAGGAGGAATTGCCTTACCCTCTGGCGTTATCCAAATGAAGCAAAAAGCCATCATCTCCAAACTTCGTAAACATCTCATAATGATGACGGTCCATGTTACCTTTCAGAAGACAAAAAGGGAAGGGCATGGGAAACAAACGCATACTAGACCCACACCCAATATTTAAAAACAGAAATCAGCCTGGATCCATAGATAACGAACTGCTGAAAAAGAGAAATCAAACCCTTTTAATGCGAGGGGACCAGCAACTTAAAGAGCTCATAGAAAGCTTTTGGGTCACGTAGGCTGATGCACATCTGGTTTGGGTCATGTGGGATGCAGATGCACATCTGGTTTCCTTAAAACGGATTGGTTTACTTTATTATGCTTTCCGTATGGCCTGTGGGGGGGGGGCAGTTGTGCTCAAGTGAACATCTGGAATTCTCTGGAATTTAAAAACTGGACTCAGTTTGAGTTCCCGGTTATACACGCATATTAACGCATGAAATGTCACTATTTATTCCCAGGAACTAGCATGACTGTCAATATAGTTCCATGATTGCCTGTTCAGAGGAAACCCCCTTGAGTTACTTTAGATTTACAGCCAGGCCAGTGTATATACACAAAATTGCAAACTCATTTGTTTTGTAGTTCTGTTAATGTTGCATGTTGTGGTCAATTAGGCTTTACTGCTATACTGCAATCCAGCTAGAAACCCCCATTACAGGAAAGGGCATTAATCTTCGTGGTATGTACACCGGATTCTATATTAGGACTCTGAGCTTTTCAACTATTTAATTATTCCTTCCTCTGGCTGCAGCTGAGCGGAGGTAAGATATGTGGTCTCTGGAAGAGGCCAAGACTTTGACATTTGGAAATCTGGTTAAACTGTGCAATATCCTTTCTGCCCAGTAAAGAGGAGCACAGCTGGATTGCTTTTTCAAAGTAATGCAAAGTCGGGATATATAACTCGGGCCTCCCATATTTTCCTGGCCGTTGTTTTTACCTTGTTTTAATTTAAAATTGAGAAGTCTGCAAAGAAAGGTATTTCCTGAGACATATGATCAGCCCTACATCAATGCAAAAAAGTCCTATCATATTCAACAAGAATAGACTCTTTGCAATCCAATGCTTTGTTTGTTAGCATGTGTATCCATCTGTCTTGGGAGAAAAAGCTACCTCCCCAAAATTAAGGAGGTAGAAGGCATCTTGGGAGGTAAAAGCCGTGATGAGAAGCCAGGTTACCCATTTGGCTTCTGATAAAGGAGAATTTTTGAAGGCCATCAAAGAGTGGCAACCCTTTTCCAAGGGCGTTCACAATAACGTCTCAAATTTCCGAACAGTCATCTGGAGACATTTGCCATATATTATAAAACGTGTTTGTTCCCTGCTGCCAAATTCAGAAGAATACATGATGGAGTATGGCAGAAAGCAAGACCTTTGGGAGGCTTGTCCTGGCATGTGCCTATGTGTGCGCGTTGTTAACATGGTGACAAAATTGAGCACAAACAATTCAGCATGTCAACATCACTGTGAAGTAAATCCACTGGAATGGACTGTAGTAGAGAAAATCTCATGCCACAATGCATCTGGCATTTTTCTAAACTGCCACTGTCATTTAAAAAACAACAACCCACCAATGTCTGAATTGGGATGGATGAGTGAATGAATGTGTAGCTTTTCCCCTTTTGCATGAATATGTAATATTCAATGCACAAGAATCAGTGCATATGGGCTGGGATCTGAGGAGGGAAACTACAGTTTTAATATTTCCTTCTGCTATTTCTATCTGATGCGATTTGGCCATTGCTAAAACAAAAAAGCCCACACAAAAACTACCCTCAACCCCAACCCCAAATGGAGAGTTTGAATGCTGAAATGATGGACTACGATGGACTCCCATTCCGGTTCAGTCATGAAGCTCACGGGATGACCTGGGGCCAGTCATTGTTTTTCAATGCAAATGTTGTAAGCATAAAATAGAACTAATTGCACAATGAACCAACATTTGTTTTTGGAGAAAACATAAACGCTCCCCAAAGGATTGCTTTTCTCTGGATTGTTGACATATTGTTTGTTTGTTGTTGTTCAGTTGTTAAATTAAGTCTGACTCTTCGCAAGCCCATTGTCATGCCCCTGTTGGAATCTGATTCTGAGGGGGAGGCTGAGTAGCTTACAGGGAGTGGGAGTATGGCTCTGGTGGCTGGGGAAGAAACGGGGGAAGGGCACAGTCCGGCTGGGCATTCAGAGGAAGACCCAGGCCCATCCCCTCTTCATCCTAGGGCATGCAGGGAGGAATGGAGAAGGGAGCAACGTGAGTTACATGGGTTGCGGGGGAGAAAAGGGCCCTGATTTCCTTCATTAGCTGCAGCTGGTAAAACAGGACTTTAAAAGCGGGTTTGCGCACAGCACCTTGCTGGAAGCAAAGAGTGAATTATCTTTGTTTGTCAAATCTTATCTGGGTTCTGGCTTCTTCCCAACAGTGTGTGTTTTGTTATCCTTTTGAAGTCTGCAATTCCTTATTCTGACCTGTCTCTTTAATTGCTGCAGCGTGGTTTGTGTTGGTTTTTATTTATAATTTATATGTACTTTGGGTTCAGACTGAATTTCTTCCCTCTAAAAACTGTTCTTGGGAGTTTTTTCTCCAGCCAATGATAACTGGACATAGGGGGCCAAGTTGGAGGTATTAAAGGGAGTTTACCTACTTTTGTGACTTTGTTGCTTTTGTGCCATGCCCCGGGTCATCACACCCATGGACCACAGCATGTCAGGCCCCTGGTCCTCCATTGTTTCTCGGAGTTTGCCCAAATTCATGTTCATTGCATCTGTTCTGACCTGGGCTTCCCAAAAATCACAAAGCAGACTCTTTGTCCCAACAAAACCTCTTTTTATTAGGCTAATGTGAATTCCTATCATTCACATCCACCAAAGTCCCGGAAAACAGTCTGTCAAGGCTTGGAGACAAACGCTATACAAGAAAATACTTAGCACGGAGTTTCTGAGAGTCATGAACAAATCTTCACACTAATTAAATGAACTAATTGTCTCCTGTAAACACAACTCCTCTTTTGCCCCTTTTTATTCCCTATGGGAAGGGCCATCAACTCCTGAATCGACCCTTGTTCCTTAACTTTTCCCTTCTTCTGGCAGCTCTGTGTACGTGCACATTGGGAACAGTCTCCAGCTGTTCTTCTGCCCCATTGATCTCCGACTCTGAAGGCAGCTGGTAACTGTCAGGTGGCCCTGGCTCCATCTCTGCCTCTGATGCAGAGCACTCATCAGAGCCTTCCCCAGACTCCAGGACTGGCCCATGTTCCTCCCCAACCTCCTCACTGTCCGAGTCTGTCACCAGCTCTGCTGGCCGCTGGGGGCCACAACAGCATCGAAGACACCATCTAACCATCTCATCCTCTGCTTCTCCCTTCTCCTTTTGCCTTCAATCCTTCTCAACACCAGGATCTTTTCCAACAAGTCCTCTCCTCTTATTAGGTGGCCAAAGTATTTGAGCTTCAGTTTCAGCTTCAGTATCCATCCTTCCAAAGAACAGTAAGGGTTGGTTTTCTTTAAGATTGACTGATTGGATCTCCTCGCAGTCTTAGGGACTCTCGGGAGTCTTCTCCAGCACCACAATTCGGAAGCATCCATTTTTCAGCGCTCAGCCTTCCTTATGGCCCAATTCTCACAGCCATACATTACTACTGGGAAAACTACGGCTTTGATTATGTGGAGCTTTGTTGAGAAGGCGATGTCTCTGCTTTTCAATATGCTGTCTAGGTTTGCCATCACCATAGATTGCCACGGAGCAACCATCTTTTGATTTCATGACTGCAGACACATTGGCAGTGATCTTGGATAGGATAAGGAATTTAGCTAACCCCTTCCACTCCCCATATTGAAAGCAGAGAATTCAATTCAGAAAACATGGAAAGTTTTGAACTGATCGGCATGTTCCAAGCTGGCTGTATTTCATGCTCCGTGAAAAAAATCTCCACTCTTGGACAGAACACCTCAGATCCATGAGGATCACAATCCCTCCCTCTCCTTACTTACCTATTAAGAAGTCAAATATGGCCATGTCAATGATATTGAGTAGCCGGCTGCCACTGCTGTAAGGATAAATCTCCTTCACGGTATTGCAGTAGAGAGGATTGACTTCCCACCTGGGAGAAAGATAAAAGAGAAGAGAGTTGCTGCTGGCATCAGCACCCTCCCCATCTGCTGCCTTTCTGGAAAACAGAGGGAAAAGGTGATGGTGCCGCACTGGACTCTAAGAGGAAATTAAAGGTTTGGGGTCTCACCTGCCTTGTGAAGCCATGAACCCAAGGCAAAAAGTGAATACAAGCAATAGGCAAGGATCTCCCAAATGGTCAAGGTTTCTAAAACATCTAAAGAACATCTGTAGAGAAGCTTGAACACTCTCTATACTAGGGGTGTCAAACTCACGGCGTCATGTTGTCCTCACTTGACGTATCATGACTTTTTCCCCCTTCGCTAAACCAGGGTGGGCATGGCCAGTGCATGACAAATCCGGCCTGCGGGCTGCGAGTTTGACAGCCCTGCTCTACACTATTGGGAAAAGAAGATTCCATCTTTCCCTCTCCTTGTTACAATCATGATAATAAGAGGCCTTCTACGGTTGGCTTTTATATTTCAAGGTAAGTCCTACATTTAATACTTTTGATTTTTTTTCATACTTATATCTTGATTTTCCTCAAAGAATTTAAGGTAACGCACATGATAGGTGTTGGGGTTCTTTTTTTTGTCTTATTCCACTGCAGCCTCAAACCACACAAAGAGCTTCTGTTGGCTAGATATGGAGACAGCAGCTTCAGGAGCATTTTTTAAAAAATCCAGAATGGGTTAGAAAGAGGATTAATTTTTTTCACTCTTCTCTCAGGCATGTCTACACACCTCTTCATATATAAGTTCCTGTTGGACTTCCTAGAAGCTGTTATTTTACAACAGAAAATGGAAACAGCATTTATTGCTAGCTTAGCTATGGTGGTTAGGAACTTTGGTCCAAAGGCATCTGGTTGCTTCTGGATGGGCCAGATTAGGAATGCAAAATTGAGGTGTGAGCTAAATCAGGGCAATTAAATAGATTTACCCTCCAGTAACTGTGTCTATTATTACATCCTTGTTTCTCTTCTACATAAATGGGACCAAGGGCCTTTCTGAAGCTGTCCTGCTCAATAAATGTAGCATAGCATAGTTTTTTTTTGAAAAGGTGGCCTTTGTCTGAGCAGTATGCAAAAAGAGAGGTCCATTTACCCACTTACTCCTCTTTTCCTGCAAAGGTGTAGGATCGGATCCACGGATTAGGGATGGAGATTCGAGGTGCCAAGTTGAGAGAAGGCAGGAAAACTGAGAGGGAACCTTCCAACAGGTGAGGGTTCCCACAGACGGCGTATTCTGTTTTGCACATGTAAGGGCACTTCGCAAAGAAACAGACATTGCTGGCTAGGGAGAGAGGAATCTGTATGAGACTGATGCAGGGACAGAGGTTGTCCATAACAGGCCAGAAGAATATCAGAATGAAGACACGCTCATCATGAGGTCATTATGCAAATGGTGTGATTGCATAATGACACCTGATGCCCAAAAGTTTATCTATTTATTAAGAAAATTTACATGGCTGCCCAATTTATGGTGACTCCAGGCAGCTTATGAAACACCAGTACAAAAACCAATAAACTTCTACTCCTTTGGTGACAACAATCAGACCAACGACTTGATGGATTCTGTTGGCAGAACCATGTCTTCAGGGCTTTGACAGATGTCAAAGTGAGTGGCCATCTTATCTCTGCCAGGATGATGTTACACCAAGAAGGAGCCACCACAGAGAAGGCCCTTCTTCCTGATCTCACTAGGAGGAACACCTAGAGCAAAGGTCTTCAAACTTGGCAAATTTAAGACTTGTGGACTTCAGCTCCCAGAATTCCTGAGCTAACATGATTGGAGGAGGAATTCTGGGAGTTGAAGTCCACAAGTCTTAAAGCTGTCAAGTTTGAAGACCCCTGACCTAGAGACTAGAGTCATAACATTTTATGCCTTTCCGCTACAATGGGTTGTGTAGATATGATTGGGAAAAGATAGTATTTCAAAGTTGTATAACGTGGTAAAAAAGCAAGGCCCTTAAAACTTGGTTTTTTCACAGGGCCATAGAGCCTGTGAAATAGTTGCACTGTGTTTAAGTCCATAAGCACTTTATTACAGTTTTTTATTATTTTAATTTTATTTTAATGCTTTTGTTTTTAATTATTTTGATCATTTTTGCTACCCAGCATCACCATAGGAGATGCCGGGGGGAGGGGCAGCTATATATTACTGCTTAGTACAACTATGATGTCTAAACAGTGTTCAGAGATTTAGCTGCCAAGGAAGTATGACAGGAGTAATACTTGCTCTCCCTGATAGTTAAATTCAAGAGTCTTTCCAATGTGACAAATTTTCTGGGCACACAGGTTCTATATAAACATGCAGGGTATCTATGAACCCTTACAACAGGAGAAAAATATCTCAATTTTGTTGCATTTACTCATTTAATTAATTCAGGTTTTCCAACTAAATTTAAACTGATCAGGTTTATTCTAGTAAATACTGACAAAGTTGCTCCCATTTTGCCTGGAGCAATCTTGGTTGTACAAAGTGGAAAACAAAGGCCTGGAGCAAATTTTGAAAGAATATTATGGATTAATCCTCTGTCAAAACACCTCACAATCATTACAGATGGTGACCTCCGGGTTGGTCTGTAGTAATCTGTCCACAACTTTTAGAATGGCTGTCAAAATTTGCATGTTGCTACAGCGAAGTTGAGTATTTTTAATCTATTATTTTACATTCTTAGATTGTTGTGTAGTAAGAGAAAAGCTGAAGAGGACCAATTCACCAACAGTGCTTGGGGAAAAAAAGTAACTCTCAATCATGAGGGTGTTGAAAGTGACACCACTTTTAGGAGGTGAAACGTGTATTCTTGTCCATTTCTAACCCCAATAGAATAATTAGTTTTATTCATGCTGAAGTGGGGTACAGAAATGTGTTTCTTATTTGAGGAGGTGGAAAGGTGATATAACTTGAACATCTCAATTTAAGGTGCTGCCATTGTGCTTTCAAGTCATAAATAGCTTATGGCATGACTATTTAAGGAAACTTTGAAAGACGCCTCCAGTGTCCCAGATTCATCTTCCTAGAATATTGGAGTAGGCCTTCTCCTCTACAACTTCCAGAATATGAAATGTATCTTACAACTTAAAACATAGGGTTGGAAGGGACATGGAGGTCTTCTAGGGGCAACCCTTTACTCAAGCAGGAAACCTCATACCACACCGGACAAACGGCTGTCCAATCTCTTCTTGAAAACCTCGAGTGATGCGGCACCCACAATTTCTTGTGCCAAGCCATTCCACTGATTAATTGTTCTTACTGTCAGGAAATTTCTCTTTAGTTTCAGGTTGGTTCTCTCTTTAATGAGCTTCTTCTTTAATGCTCTTTCACCAGGAATTTTACTGTAAACTGATTATAGTTCTTAATTTATTTCATGTTCACAACATATGTATGTGTGTGTGTGTGTGTGTGTGTGTATTTTAAATGTTACTAGCCTTTTTGAGTACTCACCAAAGTGGAAAGACTGAATATAAATCTATGAAACAAACTTACCTGGGGAAATAAAAAAGACACTTTGTAAAATTTCATTCTTTGTGATTTCTAAAATTTCTTTTGTGACGTTAATCATTCTACCAGCTGCTGGAGGGACGCGACGGAAATCCAGGATTCTGCAAAGGGCAAAATATATTGCTCAGATCAATGCAAAGAAAGAGGGTTTTATGTCGTATGCCATCTGAGTGTTAATATTGGTAGCTGCTAATAAAGAGAGGTCCTCGGAGCTCTCTGAACTTGGTTGTTTTCTTGCAGACATTTCATTACCCAAACTAGGTAACATCATCAGTGCCAGCACTGGGTAATGAAACATCTGCAAGAAAATGATGGAGCTCAGAGAGCACCAAGGACCCCTCATTTCGATCCTGAGCCACAAATATTCTCCTTTATCTGTAGCTGCTACTAATATTTAACTACGGTTACCTGGATCTAAGCAAGTCCTCGTTTATTCATCCTGTAATAGCTTTAATTACACAGGGGGGCTTTATTACACAACCCTTCACAACCTTGCCTTCTGCTGCTGCTGTTGCTGCTTTGTTCTCCCCACCACTTAAGCAATCCATTAAGACGTTTGATGGATGGCTCAAGTGAAATGCTAGATGCCAACAAGAATACTGTCCCAACTTGTAAATGCTGAGATGTGGGAGATATTTCTGCTGTTTGGGCTGATTCATACCATACAGCTTGCAATGGATGCTCTGGGGTCTGATAGATTTTTTTTTGTCAGCAAAACAAGATGATATTTGGTTAGTGAGTCAGTAACTGCCAAGCAGTCTGACTAATAATGGCATAGAAGCTTCTTAAAATGCCCTCAAGAATTAGCTTTTTCAGCCTGCTGTTTGCAGAATAAAAACACAAATAAAGCATAGATTTGGATCTTGATCAGGACTCCTGATGCACCAAATCAAGCGTGATCTACCACCAGACCTGCCAGATGCATCACAAGCCAAAAAAAAGAGGGGGGGAGTTTAAGAGAGCTCCGAATGATGGGCTAATATAAATCAAGCAGCTAGGTGGGAAACAGGTGCAAGAGTTATCAAAACTTGGTAAACAAACAAACAAGCAAACAAATAAACACTTCAATTTCCAGACCTTTTGGAAATATCTAAAGACCTGGTTTTGCCATCTTGCTTGGGCTTTGCAGCCATGGGGCTGGTCAGCGACCTGAGAACCTTCCCCCCACCTTTTGATTCTGAATGTTAACTTTCTTCGTCCTTTACATAATTTTATATATGTTTTTTATATTTTTATATTTTACTTGTACACTGCCCAGTCTCTCTGTGAAGGAGATGGGCAGTTTCTAAATGAGATGGATGGATGGATGGATGAATAGATAGATAGATGATAGATAGATAGATAGATAGATAGATAGATAGATAGATAGATAGATAGATAGATGAAAGATTTAATAAACAAGCAAACAAATAAATAAGAGGCAGCTTGAGGCAGTATCAAATCCCCCCCCCCTTTTTGTTAAATTTTATTTGTTACATGTGAACTATGAACAAACAGTGAGTTGTATCTAGGGGCTGTTTATCCACTTGTGGAGTGGGATCTGCTAATAGAAAGGTTCCTCTCTAAATTAGGGGAGATATGGAGGAGAATAGCAGGAAAGCCACTTGCAGAAAGTATGATATAACCAGGGGTGGGATTCTACCAGTTTGGACTGATTCTATAGAACCGGATGTTACGATTCTGCACAGTTTAGAGAACCGGCAAATCATGCCCCTGGCTGGCTCCTCCCCCTCTCCACCTGCCCCTCCGCACCCCTTCCAGTCAGTCCTTATCGCACATGTACAATATAGCGCACATGCCCGACATCGCTGACTGCATTCTCCCCTGCCCAGTCACTCCTTAAGATATTTCTTTTTGTTTTCCTCCTGACAATCAGATGTTCTGATGATCAGCTGTGCTGGGATCCCCCTCGCTGTCTTACTGCTTCGCCCAGGAGGCTTCCCTGAGGCCCATGAGGCAAAAAGGGGCGCATGGAGCGAGGGGCACTGAAGAAAAGAAGCCACGCCCACCCAGTCAAATGGCCATGGCCACCTAGCCACACCCATAGACCTGGTTGTTAAAAAATTTGAATCCCACCCCTAGATATAACTTATTATGTTCTAGAAAGTTGGGACGATCTGAAGCAAAAAATGATCTTTCCAAATAATAGTAATTTATTAATTATCTATTAAACTTGCATGCTGAATGACTATTGGCAGTTCTCAACAATTGAAAAAATTAGAATATAATCAATGTAAATAAAGGTAAATTCAATTTCTATGGAAACTGTCTGGGAAGTTTGCACAATGCTTTAGAAGAAAGAGCTGGAGTATAAAACTATTATGAATTTGTATTTTCCTTTCTATTACAGCCCCATGCCTAGATCATAGGCTACCACAATTTTTTCATTTCACATGCTCTTTTCTGCACTGCATCTAAAGATGGCCAGAGAACACAAATCAATCATCAAATCATGCTGAGCACGAAATGACGAGGAAGCTACTATATTCCCTGCTTATTTCTTCCCTCAGCTCTATAGGGAAGACATCATAATTCACTAGGAGAATGTAGTTATATCAGCAGTAGGAGTTAGCAAACTCCCAAAGTGGATGAACTATGACTCCCAGCAGTCCCATCAGCTTGGCTAAAGATGAGGGATGTTGGGAAGTATAGCAACTTGGAGTGCCACAGATTTGTCACCCCGGATCTAGATTAAACAGTACTGGTTCTTGAAGGTTTTAGACAAGCCCAATCATTCCAGTGGCCCTGGCTGTTCTCCTCCTGGGGTCACATGATCATGTTTCCAGCACTCAATAACCAGCTTGCATTTACGGCTGTTTACAGCATCCTGCAGTCACGTGACCTTAATTTACAGCATTTGTTTTGCTGGCAACTGGTGTCTGCTTCCAATTTCTGGCAAAAACCGCAATGGATTCACTTAACAAATGTAGCATTCACTTTACAAATCCTGTGTTAATTTAATAATAGCAGCAAAAAGGTTGTAAAATCAGGCAGAGCCACATAACAACCAGCATGACTTATGACCATAATTCCAGGCTCAATTATAGTTGTGAATCAGGAACTAATAATTTAATTTCTGTCCTGAATTATAATTCTCCCCAATAATGTGATTTCCACCCCCCCATCAGTATTTATTCTGTTGACCCTTGAAGTTTCTAATGACTGAAAGGGAAGAGCAGAACATTCATTCCATAATGATGCTGATGGCTTTAAAATTTGTGGCCTGTGAGTAAAGACTGATACCTACCCTCAATGCTCACACAGTTTGTCTACTGTGCCTTTTGCTTCACCCCTCTGAAGCTACAGTCAAGCTCCTTTCTAGACAAATAATTCAGAAGGTAATTAACACTTGGGAATTACCTGTCTAGGTGGAAGGCAGCAATCTCTGCATTGTGTCTCTGAAAGTCAACAAAGTAAAAAAAATCTTCTGGAGTCTCCTCATCTCGTTTCTGTCTGAAAAAAAAAGTCCAGTTAATTAACAGGAAGGAGATTGTACGTAAAACAAAATATCTTTCTGACACTTAGAAAAGCATTTGTAGCTAGAAAGAAAGGTTTCCTTCTTTCTCTTTCTGCTTTTCAGTGTTTCAGATCTTTTGGGTTCCTTTGTGTTCTTCTAGACTTGGAGTCTCATGCTCAAACTAACCAACACCACCAATATATTTAATAATATCTGAGAAGACTAAATAGTCATGCTATGGAATTGGAGCCCAATTATGGCAGCAGTGCACAACTCTGGCAATTTTACGACCTATGGACTTCTACTCCCAGAATTCCTGAGCCAGCATGGCTGGTTTAGGAATTCTGGGAGTCGAAGTCCATAGGTTGTAAAGTTGCCAGAGTTGTTCACCCTTACATTGTGGGAACTTTCCTCTGTTGTCCTCCTAATGTTATTTTGACCCAGGTTGGCCTGTTTGCTTAGTCGAGGAAGAAAGTTGCTATTCAGGTCCAAAGGGATCGGTTGGGAAATCTAGATCCCAGCTGGGACCAAGAAAACAGAGAAAACGGTCAGAATAACTCCCTCTTTTGCTACACTGCCCTGGTCTGCACTGCCTCATCTAACATCTGATCTTCATTCTTTCCATAATTTTTAAAGGATGTATGTGGTCACACCTAGTTGGCAGTTAGTCAACCAGCAGCTTCTAGGTGGCTTCTTTTATACTCATTCTGAATTCCCTTCAAAGTCTTTATACATTAGCTAAATGTCTATGGAGATTCTTAGTTGACCGGGTCATGATTGTCCCAAAGGTGCTTTCTTTCAAAATGCAACTGGACTTTCTTGTTTTGCTTGAAGACATTTCGTTTCTCATCCAAGAAGCTTCTTCAGTTCTGACTGAGTGGTGGAGTCAGCCATTTTCCATTCTATCCTTCCTGCAAGGAATATAAACCCTTTCATTCTTTACCATTTAGACAGAACTGAAGAAGCTTCTTGGATGAAAAGCCAATTGGCTTCAAGCAAAAATCCAGTTGTCTTTTGAACGAAAGCATCTTTGGGGCACGACATTAGCCTTTCACTGAGGTTGGGAGGAACGAAACTTGGTTGTACAGGATGCAGCTTCCAAATCCCTCTTGTGAGCTTTGTTCTTTCTACAGAATTGCTGAAATTCAGCAGCACAGTTTATGGACATGTCGAGGTGGGAAAACATAAAAAGTACACCATAGTGTAAGTCCTAAAATAGACCTTGGGTATTTTTTTTTAAAAAAAAAATCATCACGCTACCTACCATCACCAAAAACAAACAAACCAACAAACCACAATTCGAACCCCTGCTCCTTCTCCTCCTTCTCTGCACAACATCTACAGCTTTGCTAAAAAATACTTTAGTGAAAAGGATTCTGTCCATTTTTAAGTGAAGCAAGATTACCTCATTGGTTTGAACATGGCTTTCCCGAAGTCTTGGAACCGCAAGACAAGTTTCAGGTGCACCCCGCTGGGCTTTACAACTAAGAAATGAAGAGAGATTCAGCTCCTTGTTCAAATGTCAAAACCCACAGGAAACATAATAACTGTCTTAAGAAAGAATTGGAATGAGCTTCTAACGCCTTAAGGGGTGTGGTATATGAAGATCAATATCTAGTTTGCCCTTATATGTTGGAAGCCATTTACATATGCTACAATAAACTTAAAATAGTGAAGGTCTAACTTATTAAGGAGCACATGTCTCACAGTATGTGCAACCTACAACTCTGAAAATTCCCTGAAAATTTCCAATATAATATTTCTTCATTTTTATTTACTGATCTGTACTGAGTTATATTTTGATTGCTTTGTTTACAGGTAGCCCTTTACCTATGGCCGCTAATAGCTCAAAATTACTGTTGCTGAGTGAGATAGTTGCTAGGTTTTGCCCCATATTACAACCTTTATTGCCCCAGCTGTCAAGGGAATCCCTGCAGTTGTTAAGTTAGCAACACAGTTGTGAAGTGAATCCGGTTTCCCCATTAACCTTGCTCGTTAGAGGGTCACAAAAGAAGATCACACACAACCATGGCAACCCTCATAAATACACGCCAGTTGCTAAGCAACCAAATTTTGATCGCATGACCATGGGGATGCTACAATGGTTGTAAGGATGAAAAATGGTCACAAGCCACTTTTTTGAGTGCCGTTGTAACTTTGAATGGTCACCGAGCAACCGGTTGTAACATGAAGACTATCTGTATAGCTCTGGAAAATGAAGGGAAGGAGATAAATAATTCTTCTTCCATTCTGTTTGATCTCTACAGCAAGGTTGTCAAACTCAAGGCCCACGAATCCAGCCCACAGGGTGCTTAGAACTGTTCTGTGGCCCCCCTGAGCTCTGTTTTCAGTGGCAGAGGGTTGCAGGAGGCCATCGCAGCCAAAAACACACACCCCCGGCAGAGGTGGTGTCCAGAAGGTTCTGACCAGTTCTGTAGAACCGGTAGCGGAAATTTTGAGTAGTTTGGAGAACCGGCAAATCCCACCTCTGACTGGAGATTTTACAGCATCCTTCCCCCGCCACCAAGCCCACCAAGCCATGGCACCAGAAACAGTAGTAAAAAAATGGAATCCCACCATTGGCCCCCGGGCTCCGTTTTCATGGCAGAGGGCTAGAAAATCCTGCCTTATCACTTGGCCACCATGGGTGCCCCCAACATGGATGATGTCGAGCTGGCCATACCCCCTGCTCCCTCAAGGTCAAACAATGCGGCCCTCAATGAAATCGGGTTTGACATCCCTGATCTACAGTAAAACTGAGAGATTTGTGCAGCTGTGAGCACTGGTAGGGTAGAAGGTTGGATTGAGGCCAAGGGAGCCAAGCCCAAATCCATCTTCACAAACTCTAAGTTTGACCCTGGACATAGGGCGATTTGTCAAATCTGCCTCATACAGGTATCCTCCTAGACCTCTTGGAGGAAGAACAAGACCCCAATAACGCTACTTGGCCAGACCTCCATATTTCCCATTTTAACTGATGATCCTAGTCTGGAGAGCCCATCTATCAAAGCTGCCCCGAAGAAGAATGGGAAGAGAATGAAACTAGCAGGGTGGGGGTGTGCATGTGTGTGGTATATTTTATTTTGCAAATCCTTCTTTTTTTAACGCTGGCTGATCTCAAAAAAAGCAAAAAAGCAAAAGCAAAAGTTAAGCAGAGTCAGAGCTTGTCTGGAAATCAGTAGGAGACCTAAGGAAGTCCCAAAGCTGCTGGCTGGTCAAAAACAAAGGAGGCCAAGAGTATCACTTACACATTATTGCCAAGGGGGATTCCTGCAGTCCCCAGGGGTTGACCTTGATCTGAGAGAACCTTTACTTTCGTTTTGACTGATTTTTACCGATTTAACTCATTTTGGAAGAGGTTTAAACTATTTCAACTCCTTCCCTCAAAATGACACTATAGAGCACTGCACACCAGAACAACTAGACACAAGGACATTTTTTCCCTGAAAGCCATCACTCTGCTAAACAAATAATTCCCTCAACACTGTCCAACTATTTACAAAGTGTGCACTACTATTATTATTAATCTTCTCATCACTCCTTATCAGCCATCCCCTCCCACTTGTGGCTGTAGGACTGTAACTTTGTCGCTTGTATCCTTACGATTTATATTGACTGTTTCCTACTATGATTTGATTGCTTATTGTACCCTATGACTATCATTAAGTGTTGTACGTTATGACTCTTGACAAATGTATCTTTTCTTCTATGTACACAGAGAGCATTTGCACCAAGTCCTTGTGTGTCCAATCACACTTGGCCAATAAAGAATTCTATTCTATTCTATTCTATTCTATTCTATTCTATTCTATTCTAT